AAACTACTCTAGAATTCCAAAAGAAATAAAAATCATATAAATATCAAAGAGGATATTGAAGAATTAAGTCTCTTGAAGGTAAAATAAAAGAACTATATCAATAAACACACTTGGCTCAATAGTAGAAAGGTCTTACTCTTAAAAATCAAAGGTGTTTGGTTTAGTTAATATAGAAAATTATGTTAAAGGGAACCTTCTTTTAAAATTGCATTGGATTTTCTCTCTAAAGCCAAATTAATTGAAAAAATTAGAGGGGAGACAGATCTAAAGGAAAAACTGGCGAAATCTTTAGGAGACCCAGCAAAAATCTAATATATTGGATTAGATACCCTAATTACAGGATATCTATCTTTACAATATAAGTAACTTATTTGTATATTTAAAGTCCCAAAGATAAATTTGAAATTCCATGTACTACCCGATAGTTTAATATCATTGATTACTACATCAATAAAAAGAAATCAGACATTTTTACATTCATAGTGGATAGTTTTAAGGACACTTACATCTTTGATCATTAATACTAAAAATTATAATAATTTTCAATGCAGTATTTTGAGGAAGAACTATTTCCTATTGAAAACTTTAAGTTGAGGAGATAATTAAATAGTACTACTTGGATTAGTGAAAATTAGTAGGGTCGAAAATTCTTAATTTAATTTTTGTAAATCAGGCATGAATAATAATTTAAATATTAAAAGACTAATTATGAGAGCTATGGCGTTTGTTATTTAGAGGGAGAACTCAACATTCGACTTAGCAATTTAGTAGATTAAGTTGATGACTTCTACATAAAGGGATATTGTGTCATAAAATATAGTGTATATTCTTAAATAACTTTAAAATAAGTAATAAAATATAGGTTTATTCATGGAATACAATATAAAATAGAGGAGCTGTATGAATTTTTACATGCCTGTCTATAGATTATAAAGCAGTAGAAGTGTGGAGACATAAACTTAAGTAGTTTTGTGTTTCATCAAAGAACCTATATATTATTTAGATCTAATCATAATGATGATGATGACTTAATCAACTTGGCATAAGTCGTTATTGAAATGATTTTATTAAAACCAGTCCCTGATGCAATTTCTGGGTATTCTAAAATTAATATATCCCATCCCCTTAAGCCAATACTTTAATAAATGATTTACGAAGATGTATAAATTGATGATTTACTCTATAGAATCCCTCTTACATCTAGTTTTGTTGAAATTAACGTAGAGGATGAGATTAAAATAAAAGAGAGAAAAAAAGATGAAGATATTATAGATTACTTAACTCTCTCGATTCATTAAATCAATTTGAATTTCAGAATGAAATAATTTTAAGAAGCCTTAAAAGAAATTTAAAAGGCAGAAATTTAATTGAGTAACAATAAATTTACATCTGCAACTTCAATTGAATAGGGATTTTATCGCTATTTTATAACAAACCAATACAAAATTTTGACTAGTCATTCTGACATCTCTTTTACTTTTAATGTTCTCTTAATCATATATATTAAATTTGGCACTTTATTGTAAATGAAGTTTAATTTTATATAAGAACTGGAAATGCTATATTACGCTTTGATGCGATCAGTTGAAAGCTTAGATGATTTAATTAAATAATTAACTCTTAATGTTAAATTAGAGTAACTGACAAACACAGAATAGAAGATTATGTTGAGAAGAAAGCTAACGCGATCTAATTCACAAATAGATTTATAATCAAAAGATAGACTATAACTTATTAAAGAAATTAGGAAGAACCCTACACATATCAAAATAATTACTAAAGTGAAAAAAGAATTATAGCGATATTGCCTATAATTTTAAGCATTGCATTCATTATATCTCTATTTCAATTAAGATTTTGTTTACTCTGCCTAAATTTTAGAAGATATCTAAAATACTCAGACTATGATTATTTAATCTTAAACAAAAATCATATAGGTTGTTGAAGAGCCTGATGATTTAACACCTAATTAATTTAATTTCAATTAATAATCCCCAACTTTGGATGCTGCATTGAAGATTGCTTAAGAGGAAAACTTTGAGATACAAAAAGAATTTGATGACTCACCTAATTACTGTTTACAGTTACTATATTACAAATATTTACAATTAATTGTGTGGTTTGATGGAGGTAAAGAAACTTTTCATAATAATTACAGTGACTTCTTAAAAGAATAAATCAGCTCACCTGTCTATGAGTATTTCTCGTCATAATTAAAGATTATTTAAAGGTATGAAATACCAAAAGACTACATTGCATTTAATAAGGAATGTGAAATTGGAAAATATATTGTAATAAGCATGAATAAGTGGATTGAATAGTCGTTTTTCATCCCTTCCAAACTAGAATATTGTAATGATTTTCAATTAATGTGGAAGCAATTGACATCTTATAGTGTATTAGAGTAATCATTAGAAAACAGACAGATATTAATTAAACTATTAAACTAGAAGGAGCAAACCCTTCCTTATATATTATTAGAACTGAGAGCCATTCATTAGCTTCTTCATTTAGATAATTATGTTCCACTTCATATGTCTTTGAATCCAAAACATATTATTACAAAGAATCTTAATAGCAGTTTTGTTAATAATAGTTTAATAAAAAGACTACAACAATTGCATAATGAGGTCTCGATTGATTCAGATTCTTGGTTTCATTCTAAAGGATTATTGCAATTTAGATTATTCTACATTTTATCTCTGTTTTTCTCGTTTTCTAGAAAGCATTTTGAAAATATGATGACAGAAGATTCGAATTTATTATTTTTAGGAGAAATGGCAATGAAGCAAGCATCATGCTAATCTGAATCAGATGCAAAAAGAGTTTAAGCATCTTAAATAAGAATGATGGCATTTGATATTAAGGAATTGAAATCTGATCCAAAGCCAAATCAAGTTAATAAAATACTGAGTTCATATATATTTATAAGGGATTTTATCTTACAAAACGAAGAAGATGATCTCAAATCCTTGATAGATAAGTATAATGATTAATTGAAACCCTCTTTAATTGTCTTGGCAATAATTTAGTATTATATCGCTATTGATCGTAAGGAGTTAGCAGATATAATCATTTTATAAACCTTCAAATTGATTGAGTATAATGTGAGTCTTTTTGATTATGCTCATCCTACTTTTAAGGAAGATCTACTATTATTATAGATAAAGGTCAATGAAGAAAAACTGATTCATATGGAACCTTTTGATAGACTATTTAAAAGGAAAGCTGATTTTAGGAGTCTAACATCAGATGTTTTATTAAATTTATAGTATGTGATATATAATTAGTTCTTTCATCTTGATATTTAATTTAATATTGATATGTTGGAAGATTAATTTAAGAATTTCAGCCAATTACCACCTTAATATGATAAATTAAAAAGTATATATTAATTATATCTGCTGTATTTGCAGACTACGCAAGGGAACATAAATCTGGAAGAAATCGAAAAGTACTAATTATAATATATCAAGATTTATAAAAATAGAATTTAAATAGAATACTGCTTATTCAGCAATAATTAAGAATATTTTAGTTAGATATTATATTAATATGCAAGACTATGAATTGGCTTTACCCTTAGTCTAAAATATTTTAGATTATCTGTATTCTCTGAAAATATTATCAAATTTCGTATTAAAATAAATTAATGAAACCAGCTATGTAAGACTAGATAGTGATTATGATAGGTTATTGAAAATAATGTGAATTTCATATCATCAATTGTGGATGTGTAATTAATCGAAGTCCATCCTGAAGAAACGGATGACTAATATTTTCACATTATTGATACGTAGTTCATACAGGAGAATTTAATTCATTACATAGATATTATTACTAATCTAGAAGATGATACCCTAAAATTCCCTAAAATATAAGAAATATTTAAGCTCTTATTTGAAATATCAGAACCTACAACCTAAAATAACCTATTTAAAGTGTTATCGCAATTATTTTTATGCTATTCACACCCCGAATACCTTCCCTCTATTTTCAATTAAGTTTATAGAAATCAAGAGAGATAAGTAAGTATCCATCAACTATTTTATAATAGCTCTATACCTACCTAAATCAAAGGAGTAATTTAAAAGAGAAAATGAGTTAATTAATAATAATTAATGAACTAAGCGAAGAGGACAATGCCAAAATGACTGCTTAAATCAATGTTCTGAATTATCTAATCACTATCTATGAAAGTGTAAGCAAAGGCATAACTCAAACCACTATATTAAGTTGGAGCATATAAGCTGCTGAAAAAGCCATGATTGGGTACAAAATTTAAGGCAAAAACTTTTAATCTTCATGTCATTTCATATACCCTCAACTGTTTCTATAATTATCGGATTGTTTTGTAAGGTTGGGATAAATTTCAACAGCTCTGATGCATATTGATTAGGCGGAAGAAGATTTGTTGGATTGGTTCCGTCAAAATAAGCATCCTTTAAAAGGGTTTTTCTTTATGAAATAAGCTCTCTTAAGGCCCCTTTTAACAGAATTATTTACAAAATATACAGCTTTGTTAATGGAGTTATAATAGATTAATCGATTATAAATTTATGATATTATTCGTGCTCTATTTTAATTCAATAAAAAAATTTTACAACTTTTTGAAAATAGCTAAGATTTTTAATCATTAGAATATGGCTTAATGGCTTATACTAAGTCTTTAGATTAGGCTGAAAAAATCACAGTGGACATATTTGAAATGTATCAAGGGAATGAGCCAATTTCATTAATGAAATAAGTTATGAAAATCTCTCCTTATGACATGACAGGGATAAATATTTTAATTGATGTAAAATATTTTATTTATCTTATAAATAGGCCTAGTCCATTTTCCAATTATTTAATTAAAATAATCAATTTACTAAAATAGTCTAAAAAAAAATAGAAGAGTACATTTGACTTAATAATTTAATTCACTCAATTTTATTATTATTATGATTTTTATTTATGTAATATAATTAATCACAAACTTCGTTTTTATTTATTTAATTATGGAATACATTTCAAGATCAAATATAGCAAAAATGTTCGGCAACTAGTTTGTGAAAGCCTCAACAACAGATAAGTGTAAGAAATTAGTTTCTTGGAGTTGGGAAATGCTTGGTTCACTTTTAATTATTATGGGAAGTCCATTGTCAGTAAAAAGTCTCAAGAATATCGATGAATGTGATTCATCGAAGTCTATTGATAATAATAGATAAAAGGAATTCACTTTAGTGTTGGATCTTGATGAAACCTTGATTCATTCAGAACTAGAAAGAACTTCTATAGTAGACGAAGAAATTATTGTAAAAATAGGAGAAAATATTGAAAAATATTATATTAAGGTGAGACCTTATGCTAGAGAGTTTTTAAAAAGCCTTTCTTAATTGTTTGATTTGGTCATATTTACAGCTGCTTTAAAAGAGTACGCTGATAAAGTTATTGATTTTTTAGACCCATGTGGATTTATCAAAAGAAGATTCTATAGAGATGTAATATAAAATATATAAAATTAGAGTTGTACAAAAAAGGATGGTGTTTATTACAAAGACTTAACAAAAGTGAATTAAAATTTAGAGAAGACTTTCATAATTGACAATTCATTGTCTGGAATGCAATTAAATTTATGTAGAAATATATTTTATTCTAAGCAAATGGAATGTTGATTAAGTCATGGTATAATGACACTAAAGATTAAGAATTAAAGAAATACTAAAACATGATAAAAAATGGGATTAAATAAGGAGATAATGTTGTTACTTGCATAACTGAGATGAAAAGCAAGTATCCAAATAATATTTTGAATTGATTTGAGTCGATTTAACTATTTATTATTGATATGTTTATTAAAAGACATCTTATGTTGAAATAACCACTATAGATATATTTTCATATGGCGAATTTACATAAATAAATTAAACATATTTTATTAATTTTTTTATAAATAAATGAAGTTTGAGGAAATCATTAGAAAATATGTCAGTCCAATAAAGAGATTTGATCATGTTTTGCCAAATAATTATTCAGCCTAAGATATTTATAATTATTATGAAGAATTGGTATTTGATTTAGTGAATTAGGCTAAATTTAATGAGATTGAATCATTTACAAAAATCAGATTTGCAAGAAAATTCGCAGAAGTTGCATAAACACAAGACCAAATGGATTGGTTGAATGATAGAGCTAAGGAGATTTCAAATGTGGCCATAAGTTTATTCAGACTCAGATTTCCTTAATTATGAGAAATAGAAAGATATTAATAAATATAAACATTATATTTCTTTATATTGAGTCATTGTTCTTTTGAGAATTGCCCCTTTGATATTTCTATTAGGTGAGGATATTAAAGTTTAGAATTCAATATTTCTTATGCCCATTATAATATTTTCATTAGTATTGTTATTTTAGCTTGCTCATTTCCTTAAGAATCTTAAAACAATTATTAATTGACTTCACTTGCTACCTTAATTCTTTGGGAATTTTGGGTAAGATGATTTAAAGGACATTTACTAAGATCTTTATAAGCCAATAAAGACATAGCCTTTTCAATTTCATCAATAAGATGAGGCTTAATTAAATCGGAAATTATACTTAATCTTTTAAGAAGCCAATGATTTAATTTTGGGCATATGAAACTGCCTGATCCAATTCATTAACTTTAATAAGTTCTATCAACTTTTGCATTTTCAACTTAAACAGAATTTATTTATTGTTGCTCATCGACACTTTTTATAAAGCAGAATCAATTTCACCATTCAATATATTTTTCTTAATTTCAATTCTTTCAATCATCTTATCAAGTTCTTTGTTTGACACTTTACAATAAAATATTTAAATATTACATTAAATTCCAGCCTCTTTAGAGAATTCAATCGCCGCATCTCGGTAGCCTTCAACTATGAAAAAGTTGAGTACAAACTCGTTCATTTTCGCCTTGGGTATTGTAATATTGTTTTAATTGTGATGCCAATCTTCAGCAGAAATTTTATCAAAAGTTTAATTCATTTATTATTAATAAAATAAATAATATAATCCATCAAAATTATTCATATTCTAAATCATCATATTCTTCAATAGGTTGTAGAGGCTTTGATTCAAGAACGCCTAAATTACACAAACATAAAGTAGCTATGGATTTTTCACTTAAATGATTGGCACACTATTATAAATAATTGATACAAGTATACTTAGATTGCATTTCGTAAAATATCTGTCTATATTTCAGCTGGAGTTTGTAAATATCCAGATATTTTAATTAAATTTAAGAGACACTCCAATTGCAATTTATGATTTTTTAATCTTCTGGCTAATTCATAACAATTCTGTCATATTAAATTTATAATAAATACTTGAAAATTCTCATAAGCCAATTGATACTATTTAATTTCCAAATAAACAATTCCTAATTATCCAAAGGATATGCATTAGGATTCTGCTTCATCTCTTTTCTGAGCCCATTCCAAGGCTTATTCAAAATATTCCACTGAATCCTCATAATTTCTTAACCTTCTTTAAGCTAACCCCATATTATAAAAACCAGTGAACATATTCTCTTAATCTGAATATTAGAGGTTTTGTTTATGGAACTCAATTGACTTAGTGTAATTTCCAGTATTGTAATAGTTGAATGCTACTCTATTAGTTCCCAAAGCCATTCCTATCTTATCCTCCATCAATTTAGCACAAGCCACAAACTTTTTGTAAAATCTGACAGCTTCATTATGATTTTTGCTGCTTTCATAAACCATTCCCAAATAAAAGGATAAATGAGCTTCCTTCTGTATGTCTCCAGCCTACATGCCTGCTTTGGCCCTCACTAACAAATCCTTGATGCTAGTTCTATTATTTTCCTTGACATTATGGGTGTAAGGAATAGAAGGAGCATAGCCATTTCCAGGAGTTAAGGGGGAAGCAATACTGGCATTGGGAAGATCTGGAGGTTATACAGAAATTTGTTGATCAAAAAATTAAAAGTTCGTTTCAGGTTGAACTGCTAAATCCATCTATGCCACTTTGTCGATTTCTTTTTTTAAATCTATATTGTCCATCGGAGCAGTTGATTTCATGATTTGTTCATTGAGTAAAGACCCTAATAAAGTCTTGGTTTGCTTCTCTTCCTCCTCTTTTATGTTTAGTATTTTGTCATATTATTTGGCTTGACCTTTGTGAAAGAGAGCTTCGAAGTCCTTCTCTTTTTCTTTTAACTCTTATAATGCATCTGCTTTTGGTTATACAAATATGTCTTTATACATTTGCATTTCATTTTCCTATCTCCGTAGAGGTTTCTTTTTATATTCTTTGGGCTAGAAATAACATCGCATATAATTATTACCTGAATGACTCTCTATTAACTAGGCTGAACACTTTTTAATAGGTTTGGATTCAATATTGTGCTTTCAATCTTAGTTTGAAACTCACTCAATACTTCTTGAGTCTTGTAACTTAAGAAATTAGATTATTATACGTAATAGGTTATAATCTTTCAGCAACTACAAATCTTGAAGGCTGATAATTTTTGGTCTATATTTTTTCATTTGAAACTTAGATCTTGATAATTGGTTTGGTTGTTTTTTTGGTAAGTGCAGGTGGAGATTTTGATTTATCACTCATAATATAAAAAATAAATGATTAATTTAAATTAGAATATTAAATTGGAATTGATGAGGATCAATTTGTTCAATTTCTTAAAATTTATCAATCGCATTAATTTGTGATACTTTAAATCAACGAATTATAATTTACAAATATATTTTGCAATGTAGTAAGTATATATTCTATTTTATCTGATGAATTTTATTACCAATTAGGTAATCAATTAAATAATAAAATATTATTAAAAATTTTAAGATTCTGTCATGTCATTATGGATTGCCTTAAAACGAAAGTTTTAATAACTAAGAATGAGAAATTAGATTTTTTTAATCAAAATAATTGTGCTGCTTGTTAGTTTTATCTTTATTGGATGTTGTTATATAGTTCAAAATAACATCATGATAGGAATATATGAAGACTCCTCAAAGATTGTACTCCACAAGCAGGATAGAAAGTCTCTTATGCTTTTATTACCTTAACTACATTATTACATAGTCTCAAAATAACAATCAAGTATTACTTTATTATTATTGAGCCAAGGAATATAACTTTTAACTAGTATATCTACTTTTTACTAATAACTCGACAAATTTTCTATATCATCAAATTTTAAAAATTCTCTTCCATGCGAAACAATTGATTAAATAAATTTTTTGTTCAAGATCCCAGAACCTTGTCATACTTGCTTTTTTTGTGAAGGGGGCAACAACGTTCCTGACAAAGTTTAATACCAAGATCTAGAAAAATTGGAAAGGATCCTCACTGAATTCATTTTTTCTTTCAATACTTTATAAAAGAACAGAATTTTTTTTCTAGCTACAGGTAATATTTAGTTTGGGTACATGTACCCCTAAGTAATTTTTAATTGGTCATATTAACCTGCAAAAGTCAATTGGTACACAAATCATTAAGAAATGAGGGAAAAGGATCCTTATTCGAAGTATTTCTTTTCCTTGCTCTACTTTTCAGGAACAGCAAAAATCTATAAATAGACTATATCTTACTCCTTGGAAAATAAAATAAATAATAATTTAGATGCAATTGCTGGCACAGATATGGATGTAGAAGACTGGAATATGAAATCTATTAAAGCAAACACTTATTTGCTTAATTAATATGGAGAAATCGTTTATCGTAATGTGGATCTCAATCTTTCAGTGTTGGAACTCAACTTCATATATGAGGAAAATAAAACTGGCTTTAATTAGACAGATTGGAACTAAATTTAACATTTAGCCAAAGGAGATAAAGTTATTTCGAATTGCTACCTGGAACAAACTCAGATTCTATGCAGATACAATTCAATCTATAAAGAGCCCATTAAAATAGTTGCCAAGATAATTCCTGGCAATTTTACTTTAATGATGTAAACATTACTATACATATTTAGGTTTACTAATTCAAGCTTTGAGGCTAATTTGTAGAAATAATTTTTAATTATGGAACAAAATATATATGAGTAACTAAAAAGTAGCTTTAATACTTAGATTTTAAGTTTCTTAGCAATTATTTTTGTCTCAATGATAATTGTAATACTAATGTTTCTGCCCATCCTCAAGGTAATGTTATTAGCTAAATTATATATTAAAAAGATGGGCAATAACCTTGATAAAGAGATCTTCAAAATAGCAAATAAGGCAAAAAGTAGTAAAGGACTATTTAATGAATTGCAAATCAAAATTATTAATTTTGGAGATATCATAGAAAAAAGCTAGTTATTAAAAAGTGACTAATGTAAAAACATCGAGAAAATTTAATACAAGCAAAAATTCTATTTTAGAGAGTAAAGTGATTTTTTGAAATAAATTCATCTTTAAAACCTATAGGATGATACATAACAAAGGATACCTTAGAAAGCACTCATTTAAATAATAACTAGTTTATTTAAATAAACAAGTTAAATCCATCATTCTTAAAAATGAGTCTTTTAATTGAATAATATTCAAATAATTTCGTTATATCAAACTCATATTATAGATCTATAATTATATTCAATATGTTTATTTTTGGATAATATTTATAAAACTCAAATGCATTTTTAAATAAATTAATAATAATTGATTGGTTAAATTATTAAGTTAATACTCGAATTATATTTATATTTTCGTTTGATTTCATTTTAAAATCAATGAAAAATTTATTTAATTTGAATTTAGCTATTATTTATTCATTTTATAGACTATTTGAGTTTTTACTATTATGGCTAAAATCACTGTATTACTAAAGTTTGAGATTGGTTTCTTTGTATTTGGATATATCAGAAAATTCTGTTTCTGTATTGATGATATTGCAATATTTAAAAATAATCCATACTAGCTAAAGATTTTGATTAAAGTAAATCAACAAAACAGAATTCAAATATCTAAATGCAACCGTCTTATCATACTGAATCTTGTAATAATGAATGAAATCTTGCTTCTTCTCAGCATGTTTGGTTATCCTCAGTATAACTTAACAAATATTGTCAGAATGTAATTTTATAATAAATTATTATTATAATATAATCTTCCATTCTATTATTTTTAATATATATATTTCATAATCTTGGTCTTTCTTATTATTTTTAAGCCTCGATCTTTTCTAATATATCTGGATTAGCTGATTAATCTGCCCTAACTTTTCCATTTTTCTGATTGAATTTCTTATACAATATCACTACACAGGCTCCTCCCAAACCAATATTATGCTAAAGTGCATAATTAAGATTCTTTATCTATCTATCTTCAGCCATTCCTCTTAGTTACCAACATAATTCTGCACATTAGGCTAATCCTGTTGCTCCCAAAGGATGACCCTTTGAAATTAAACCGCCTGAAGGCTATAGATTTAGAATGAAGTTTTACATTAACTACTACTCTACCTCCATATGTGTTGTCTCCTTTGTCAATAAATTCTCCTGCTTTTCCAACATCACACAATCCCAGAGCTTCATAGGTGATTAGTTCATTTGCAGAAAAGCAATCGTGTAATTCAACAGCGCCTATTTATTTTGGATCTACTCCTGTCTTCTTATACACTTGCTCAGCTGCTCTTCTACTCATATCATATCCTGCCAAATTCATCAATGACTTTTAGGCAAATGTGGATTCATTATCAGTAGTTAAGGCACAGCCTACAATTTCTACAGCTTAATCTTGTAAATTATGTTCTAACAAAAATTTTTCATTGCAAAGGATAGCTGCAGCTGCACCATCAGATGTAGGACAACATTAAAGTTTGGTCAAAGGTCCATGAATTTTTGGTGATTTAATAATTTCTTCTAGAGTATACTTGTCTCTAAATTGACTGTATGGATTCCTTGTTGAATGTAAATGATTCTTAAAAGCAATCTTGGCAAAATGCTCAGGCTTAGTTCCGAATTTCTACATATGCTCTACTCCTGCATTTCCAAATATTTTTGGTGCCCATGGACCTTTGCTTTTCTCTGTCGACCATTCATCTGAATAGTTTATTAATTTATCGACAGGTTATGTTCTATCTGGGAATTTCAAAGTTAAAGAACCTATCATCAGTAATCAAGTTACCTTTCTCCATCTTTTCAAAGCCTAAAGCAAGAGCGCAATCGTAAAGTCCTCCTGTAATAAACTATTGGGCTAAATGCAAGGCTGAGGAACCAGTTGAGCAATTGTTATTTACATTGTATATTGGTATACCAGTCATACCTACTTCATAGACAGCTCTCTATCCACAGGTTGAATCTCCATAAACATATCCTACAGCAGCCATTTTAACATCTTTGAAGGTGAGTCCTGAATCATGAAGAGCCCTTCTTGTTGCCTAAGCTGCCATGATTGGATAATCTGGATTATCATCCTTTCCAGGTTTGATAAATTTCGTCATTCCAACTCCAATTACGAAAACACGCATTATTATTAATTAAAATAATATATAAAAATTTATTAATCGCAATACTATATGCTAAATCAGCCGTAATTTTTAATTTTAAGGTCTATTTGTAAAATTATGAACTCTATAATTTATAATCAGATGTTGGAAGTTAATATTTGATCTTTACCATAAATCTAAATCATTAAATACATTTTTAGATTAACAAAGCATTTATTTTTAAATTCGTAGTTTTTTCATTCTAATAGAAGAATGTTTTGAATTTTAAATTAAATTAATGAATAATAGTTTAAGGATAGCTAGTTAGGGCTTTAAAATTGAAATTGATTAAGATTTGCCATCCAGATAATTATAAAATACATTTATTCACAAATCCATAATTGATAGAAACGAAATTGAAAAATGGATAAATGAGATATTAAAAATAGCTTGTAGTAATGACAAATAGAACAGTTTGAGAAAATTAGGAGTTGATAGAAATTCTCTAAAGGTAGTTAATTTTATTATCATTTTCACTGTAGAACGCCGGAATTAAGGATGATGATGTCAACAGACTTTATAGAAGCATGTTTGTTTATACAGTAGGATTCTATGAAATGATTGGAGACATTATTAAAAATAATGAATTAACTGCGATGATTTGGTAAGTATTTGGTATACTTTTGGAACATGTTGCAAAAGGGGATTTTCAATTCACTATTAATGAAATATATAAAGAAAGTTAACAAAAAATAGAGGAACTCAATGAAAGGTTGATACAAAGAGAATAGAAATTTATGTCTATAGAAATTTAGGCCTAGGATTAAATAAATCAATTATAAAATCTATTAAAAGATCTAAATAATTAGTATAATTTATTGAAATAACAAAAAGAAAGTGTAGAATTGGATTTTCAATAATCTAATGCTGCATTTGAAGATGCAGTAGCTTTAAAAATTCAGTTCTAATCTAAAATTATTGAAATTGCATCCATATACAGAGAATAAGCATAAAACTATTCTCAATTATCTGGAGAACTCAATGAATTGAGAATATTGTATGATAAAAATAACAATGAATTAATAATGTCCAAAAAACATTTAGAGTCTATGATTGCTGAGATGGATATAAGAGATAATTAAATTAGCCATTTAAATTAAACAATAGATCATTAAGCAAGATTATTGGATGAAAAATAGAAACAAATTTAAACCCTTTAATTAAATATTTCTCAATTAAGAAAAAATTATGTGCTTGACTAAAAACCTGATATTGATTATGAATCTTAGTTTAATTTACTGAATATGCAATTTTCAAAATATAAGGAAGAAAACATATAAAAGTATTTATGTTCAGTATTTATAGATTATAAGAATTTTAGAGACTTTAAATCATATATGGAGATACATTGGAATTGAATAAGAAATTAGCAAATGAGAATTAGTTAATAAAATAAGTAACTTCTAAGTTGCAGGATGAAAATAAACATTTAAAAATTGTAGGAGATGAATTAGAATCTTTAGAGAAAGGTTACTAATGCAGTATTTTGTAGTTGTAATAAGATATTAGTAATTTGATTGAAGAATACGAAGATAAAATTAAGAGATTTCGAACAACTTAAGTAGAACATTAATTTGGACTATAAAGAATTTAAGTCTAATAAGATGAAATTTTGGCTTTCAATTAAATTATATAGCAAATGAAAACGAATAAATATCATTTGAATTAAATAATTAGTTAGGACTAAGCAGAAATTTAGTAACTTTAAAGTGGATTAGAAGAAAAAGAGCAAACTATTAAAGATTTAGAAGAGTCTTAGAGTAAATTAAAATAGGATGAAATATATTATTAAAAACAAATAGAATAATTACAAATATTAATAGATTCATAGAATTCGGTGATAATTGAGGAAAAATAAGAACTTTAAATGCTTTAAACTCAATTCCAATCTTAATATGAAGAGATAAGAAAAGTTAAGTCATTATATAATGATTTAGTTCTGGAAAATCATTGTTTAATTAAAAGATAAAAACATTCTGATAATGCCATAAACAATCAAAAAAATAAAATAAGTGAATTGTTTAATGAAATCACTTCTATTCGAGCTAAGCATGCTAAATTTTTATCAGATTATAAAACACTTGAAATACAGTTTAATGAATTCAAGAGTTAAATTAATAAGGATATATTGTTGTTAAAAAATTAATATACTGACTCATTGAATTATTATAAAAAGATGTAAAAGGAAATGGTTCATAAAATAACACTTGATGATTCTTTAAGTTTAATTGATAGAACTGATTAAAAACCGATTACATTAAATTAATCATAAACGCACATAGATGAGTAAAGGAATTTGTGAAAAAAATAAAATTTACAATTAAATAAAGAAATTGAAGAGCTAAACGCCAATTTAAAGCAATAAATCAATTTAATCTAAAAGCTAAAGTCAAATTATAATAAGAGTTCCAATAGATTAAAGATAGTAAAGTTCAAGTAATTAGTTTATTTTTTCGGTCTAAAGGAAGTAACTAAAGAGCTGAAATTAAAAACTGACGCTTTAATTTAAATCTAAAATAGTAATGAAGATTTGAATATCGAATTGAATAAGTTAAAGGAAGAAAACTTTAATTAAAAATAGCTAATAAGTAGATTGAAAATATCTTCATAGGGCTAAAATGAATAAATAGAGGATTACGCTTCAACAAATGATTTTTAAGATTTTAGATCTAATAAGCTATAAATAAATCAAATTTCGTCTGATGACTTATAAGGATATTTTAATTCTTAAATTATGTTGTAAAATGAAATTAAAAACTCCTAAAATTAAATTGAAATAAAAGATAAAACATACTAACAAAAATAGGAAAATTAAAAGTTTAAATTGAAATAATTGTTTAAAACTGTAAATTTATTAGATTCCTAAGGAGAAAATTAATCAGATCCATAGTCTAGAAAATTATAGGATTTTTAAATTCATGATAGTCTTCATGACAGTACTTTTGAATAATTTAAAATTGAAAAAAGTTCTCTCTCACAATCTCGTAGTATTAGCGTAAGTTAAGCAACTAAAAGTTAAAGGGATAAACAATCCAAAAGAAAAATGGATTTCAAGATAAGAGACAAAAATAATACTTTGATAAAAAATACCAAGATGAATTCAAAGTAATTTAGTCAACTATTCTAAATCACTAGATCTCGTTTTCAATCTTGAATTTTATTAAAATATTATGAAATATCATCAATTACAAATTCTTTGTCAAATTCCTTCTTTTTCAGTTATCTGATCTTTGGTTTTTTTCCAACCAGAGGAGGTGCTTTTTGTTTAAATGACTTAATGATCTCCTGTTATTCTTCAAAACTAAATGATTTATTGAATAGTTTTTATTCTTTAGTTAAATTGAATGTTCTTAAGGTTCCACACAACAAAGAATCAAATTTTTAATCCCAATTGTAGAAATAAGGATTTCTTTCTTTTTCATTGGTTTAAGTGAAGATTTAGGTAACACAGAGTTAATTTTTAGGACTGGAAGAAATTATAGGGAGATCTAATAATCGAGCCTAGAACGATTGATTTTATTTTTTCGGTGTCAAATATCGAGGTTTGCTTTCCTTTTTGCTCAGTTGAACTTGTTTTTTAATGTATTTATCTTATTGAATTGCCAATGATGCGTTTCTTGGTTTATGCCTTTAAGAAAACATTAGAATGATTGATTTTCTCGTGCTCCTTTTCTAATCAGATTAATCTTGCATTTTCTGAATCTATTTTTAATTTCGATAGTTCTAATAAAACTTTTATTAATAAATAATTTAGATAGCTCTCGATTAAAGGGACCATAAATGAAGGAGAGTTAAAAGTTCAGAAATAATACCCTGGGAAATAATAATATTGAAGTTTATCCAAATCCCAGTGGAATTGATTATGAATAAATTTAATAAAGCCCCAATTAAAAATATATAAAATATATCCGTTAATATATTAATGTTAAGACAACGATCGACTTCAAAGGGTAAGCATTTTGATAGGTATGAGTATCTTAGTATGTCAGATTAGTTCCAGAGAAAGTCAATTTAAGTGATTATCAAATTCACATGGTGGAGGATTAGAAAAATGAATCATTAAAAGAACTTGATCTTAATGAATAATTGAGAGTTGAAAATAGTTAAGCCAAATACAATAGTTTATTGAAACAAAAATTAATGGAAAACAAAGCTTAATCAAGTTTATTTGTCTATCAAAGACAGCCATCAAAATATAAACCTTATATTTTTGAGAATGAATGTCCTTCTCCTGTTAGAAAGATAACCAAGGTACCCTATAAGATTTTAGATGCTCCAAAATTGAAGGATGATTTCTATTACCAACTAGTTGATTGGAGCATGAGCAATTAGATAGGAGTTGGACTTGGTAATTCAGTCTATACTTGGAATGCAATAACAAATGAAACAACATAATTATTGGAAATTGAAGCTCCTGTTTGTGTTAGTTGTATTAAATGGTGTGATAGAAGTGAGATTATAGCAATAGGAGATGATACTGGTGCAGTCAGAATTTATGATATTGTCAAGGCTAAGATATTAAAAACATATGAAAATCATAATTTGAGAGTAGGTTGTTTAGATTGGAATGGATGCAATATAACAAGTGGTAGTAGAGACAAGAGTATATTGTTTTAAGATATAAGAACTAATAATGATTTTGAATTCTCATTTCAAAGTCATAAACAAGAAGTTTGTGGATTGCAATGGAGTCCAAATGAGTAATTTTTGGCTTCAGGAGGCAATGATAATAATGTTATGATACAATCAATAAAAATGCCAAATTAATCAATGTATGTATTGAAGGATCACATTGCAGCAGTTAAGGCTCTGGCATGGTCACCTCATTAACCTAATATTCTATGTAGTGGAGGTGGAACAACAGATAAGTGTTTAAAATTCTGGAATACTTCTAATGGGCTGCTCTAAAACAGTGTAGACACTGGTAGTTAAATCTGTAATATGAAATGGTCTACCAACACCAACGAATTAGTTACTTCACATGGGTATATCTACATCATAAATATCAATAGTTATTCTCTTAATTAGGTTGCTGTTTGGAAAATGCCAAAGATCGAAAGAATTGCTACTTTGTATGGTCATTCTTTTAGAGTTCTATATCTATCATTAAGTCCAGATGGAGAAAATATAGTAACAGGAAGTGGCGATGAAACTCTTAGATTTTGGAAGTTATTTCCTTCAAAAAATAAAAATTCAAATCTAGTTAATCAATCTAAACTGGATGCTATCAGATTGGATATTCGATGATGATAATTAAACAAATCCTCTCTCAGTATAATAAAATTACTACATATTAATATATAAATTTATTCTATTAATTCAAATTCTACAAAGTATTTGCACATATTAATTGAATCTTAGATAAGAAATAAATATGTGGAAATAATCTAAGACTAAAAAAATTAATTTAATTGTAGCCCATAATTTCTGTATTAGAAATTGAAATTTGAGATCTACACTTTAAAATTACCTAATAGAATAATTATCTTTTGAAAGAAAGTAATGATCTTTAGATTTTAGTGTCTCACTTACCTAAATAAGCTAGATTATTCATTATAGAATATGAATTGGAACCTACTTTTGGATGATAAAATTAAATATTAAAATAGTATACTTTTTATTAACAATGGTTTTGGCATTAGTCATTCCTTTTCACAATTTTTCAGATAATATTAAAATTGTTTTTTCTTTAATAAACTTAATGATGGAAACACGAAATGGAGGATAGAAAGGCTGAGGATTGTAAAATATAATATTAATTCTAATATAGAGAGACTATTAAGATTGTGAGATTACGTTTTTAGAGAATGAAACTTTTTAAGGGATTATTGAGGGTATGTTTTCCAATCAACCTTAGAAAGATTTATAAAACAATTGGATATTTTTGGGAAATGATAGAGATTTCTCATAATTGCAAAGAAATGATAGATTTATAATAAATAGATTCTAAATAAAATTAAATGCATTCATTCAAAGATTTAAACATCACTGATACAGAAATTAATAATTATAATGTAATCATTATCACAAGGATATAATTAAAGTTTGTTTATAATGTATTTTTATGGATAAACTAGAAGCTAGTTGTGATTAAAATTGTGTATATACTTAGCCACCAAAAAGCATTTGATAGTTTCAGGGGAGAAGGGGGGTTAATTACTAGAATGGTCACTCTGCCATATGAAAATTGAAAATAAACAAAAGAAAAATTCTGGATGCGTTAATTCTATCTTGATTGATTCTTACATTTATTCTTGTGGAGATTATCGCAATGTGAACATCTGGGATATTAACCTTTAACCTATTTATGTTATTGTAAAATTTAAAATGATTATTCTTAGCAATTAGAAAGAACAATATTGGAATCATTATAATTTAATAAAGATGAACTAGTTGTGGGGGGGGGCGACGAATAAGGAGACCTATAATTGATTAATCCTAAACCAGGAAAAGTGATTTCAGAGATCCCTGTTCGTACTGATCATATTTGCAAATTAAGTATTACAATGGAATGCTATGCAAAGCCAGTTCAGATTTGTCTGTCAGGTTATTCAAGTTTAATATTTGAATTATATATCCACAAATAATTTATGCTTAAATTTAAGAGGGTGTATCACTTCTCCAAATGGCCTATCGTCGATCTTCTCGACTACAATCACTAGATTAATTTGCTAAAATCCCAACCTGCAAAACCCAACATACACGAGCTTCTAGGACCCAATTATGAGAAGTACTAGCACACATCAATTTAATTCGACTATGTCTCTCATAACTAGGAGCCATCCGAGATTTAAGTTCTCTCTTCTGCCCACCCAGAGTTTAAGTAAGCTGATAGGATATTTTCAACTTTCGACCAACTCAAATACGTAAGGGAAACTGAATCCTTGAAACATTAAAAATTTGCTCTAAAAGAAATCGAAGAAGATGATGTTTTTACTGTTGATGCCATGCAATCGTACAAACCTAAATTGACTTGCGACAATCTTACAGAAAACTAATTATTGCTCATCAATCTTCCCATTAATGTTACCATCTAAGAAATATAAGACTTTGTTTAATCAAAAACCAATTAACAAGTCCAAGTGGAACTTCATACCTGCTCCCTCAATATTAATGCTTATGCCACTCTCACTTTTTAAAATTAAGCTGAATAATACAAATCATAACTACATCTTACAAAATTCAATGGAATATTATAAGAGTGCAGATCCCTTGAAAATACAGCAGAAGAATCCCCATTCAATAGAACTCTTGTGATTACCAATATTAACAAGACTCTCTCTCTTTAAGAAGTATTACACACTGTTGGCTAATATGGAAGAGTTCTAAATGCCGTGATTCCTTTGGAAGTTCAAAATGTTGATCTTCCTCTCTATGAGGACATCATCCAAACCCTAGTTGATCCATGTAAATTAGAAATCCTAGATGTGTAAACAGGGAAAACAGAAATTGAATTCTACCCTAATCTTGAATAATTTGAACAACTTTACAAAAATTGTAATTATCAATTATTTACTCCATAGTCCCTGAATATTATGATCCAAACCTTGAATTAACCTTATTCGAGTATCAATAATAAAAAGACCAAAAATAAGATTAATTCAGACTTTTCAGATTGCTAAATCAAAAAACTGTTAAATGTCTGAAGGTGCCAAGTCATCTTAAAGAAAATTATAAAAAATTATGGATTCCTTAAGTCAATGTGGAAACACCTAAGGATAATCTTCAATACTAATTATATGCTAAAACTTATAAGAATAGAGGTTATTGTGTATGCACGTTTTCAAGTAAGGCTATGGCTCAAAGAGCATTGTTTGCTATTAATGCTGAAGGCACTCATGATTTAGCAGTTTTGCCATTGCCTTTATTAAATACACCTAAATTCTACCCTGAAATTACCTCCCATAGCAACCAAGAAAAGTATGGTGGCAAATTCAGAATAGAGAATTTGGCATATCCAAAATTAAGAGCTATGAAATCCTGGGAAGATTTAGAATTATATCAAATTGATTTAATCTACAATCTCAAATAACTAGAAAGAATTAGAACATAAATTTCCTAAGTGAGAGATTAAACGATCGAGGTTATTTAGACTAATTATGATACTTACTAAAAGGATCTTGAGGAGAAAAAAGAAAAAGTAAAGTAAAAGGCTTATTCTGAATTAAATAAAAGTGAAGAATATAAAAATTTCGTTGAGAAGAATAGTTTTGCTGAATCCTTAGATTCTTTTGAAGATAGTGTAGCAGTTGTTAAAGATACTAAACCTGGAAGAAAATTTAATTTTTCAATTCACAATGAACAATATAAAGGTTATGTTGAAGCAATCAAAGACAGAGCAAAGGATATTAAATTGAGAGAAAAGGAGTATGCTGACAAATTAGTCAAAAAATATTAAACTATATTTATAAGTGATTCTATTTAAAGAAAGTTAGAGAAGAATGTTGAAAAGTCAGATGATACATTGTTGTCGTTACTTTAAGCAAGAGTACTAGGTGGCTATGCACTTAAGGAGAAAAAAATGAAAAAGAAACTTGTTAGGAATGCTAGGATGTTGAGCACAGCTTCTATGTATGCTGCAGATTCAGAGATGTAATTCAGAAGAATAGGAGAACTATTTTCAGAAGTCAAGAAAAAAGGTAAGTATGTGATAAGTGAAGAGAATAGAGATTCAAAAGAGGCTTAAGAAAAAATAGCATTGAAAAAGCAAAGAAAATTCAAACGTCGTTTCAGTAGTACTATTTTGAACCCATTTTATTTAAAGAAATTAGCTCTGCAAAAACATGAAGAATTTTTGGAGTATATTAAAAAAATGTTATTGGGAGATGAATCATAAAATGAAAATTTAATTGCCATCCATCCTTTGAATCACAAAGATTAATTAAAGGTTAGTTTGGCTCTTGCAAAGGATGATTTGGGAAATGAATTCCTGAATGATAAAATCATCAATTATGTAAGAGAATTCGATATTACTGATGAGACACGAGATTTGATTAGATAATAAGAGGCTAATAGAAAACACTTAATGAGTCAGATTACAAAAGATTAGATTGCAAGAATCAAAGAATTTTCAAAATAATCCTATACTTAAAAATTAATCTCATTAGATAAACATGGAATTACGACAGAAACTTTTGAAGTAACTGATAATGAAGTGGATATTAATTAAATGGTTAAGGATTTGAATACTTTCGTTGCTGTTGGATCTGAGAAATACGATTTTGTTGTTGATAATTTAACTAAGAAAAGATACATTATCAAGAGTGAAAAACCATTTGTGAAATATGATTTAGATGCATTTTCAATTAAAGATTTGGGAGTTCAAAATTTAGAAAAAGAGGTATAATAAAATGGTTATTTTTATAGTTTGTAGATCTCTTGTCAAAGAATGGAATTTAAAGTGATAAAGCCATTGAAATGCTTAAAGCCTTGGAGAATGATGGTTAGATTTCAGAGGAGATTTTGGATTTAATTGATAAATTGCCTGAAAGTGCAGAAACAGATTATGAGAAAATATACTAAACTCAAGGGTTAACCAGAAAATGTAATATTAAACTAATATTTTAGAATATGAGTTAGCAAAATCATTAGATTTTAGAAATAATTTGGATGAAATTTAAGATGATATTGATTAATAAGCATATTTAAAGGATATATCTAAAAAGTATTCCCCATTGACAAATGATACTTTCATTAGAGATAAGGAACAAGGAAAACTAAAAATAAAAAATAAAAAAGGGAAATTTTTGGTGCCAAAGCAAAAAAAATATTGAATTTTACATTGTTTTATTATTATGCAGTAAATATTTCAAATTTATAATCAATAATTTAGATGTCTTTAATTTAACAATTGCTTCAAACTAAATTCTTAGATCATATTCTTTTTGATTTGGATGATCGTTATTAATTCGCCTTCCATATTATATAATTGCTAAAATTAAATAAATTATTCTTCTTTTCGTTAATATATGTATAATTAAATTCTAATTAAATTTCTTATCTAAATGATTACTTTTACCTCAATAATTTTATTTTTTGATTAAAGTTTTCTCTTGTGTTCTTATTTTAATAGCAGGATTCGATTAAATGGGATTTTGAAATAGTATTTCGACATTTTTGTTTCCCTATAATTAAGGAATCTTTTTTGATTTTATAATAATATAATAAAATAGATACAATTAATATTCTTCTATCAATAAGTGATAAAAACAATTTTATAAGATTACAGGATTCCTTTTTATATCTATTCAAATATTATATTTGGATATATTTATTAATAAAATAAAGATTTTAATATGCTGAGACTTGTGAGCAAGAAGTCATTCTCGTCAACTTTCAATGTGTTAGATACTTTCAAAACACTAAAAAGCGTGGTAAAATTAATTGCTAAACTCTAAGATCACAGCTCCAATTAGACATATAAAGTCTTATGTCAGATAGGATGGCGTTCATAGCTCTATGACACCTAACTTGACATATTAGGCTTTTGATGAAGTGCTTCATGAATATTATGCTGCTTATTCTGGAAATCCATTCCACTTATAAGTGTATAATAACCTAGATAACATCTAAACAGTCAATTTTGGTACAGTAGACAATCCTTGTGTTATTTTCACTGCAGATACTCCATTCAGATATGTGGGATGCACAGGTTTGTAAAACGAAGACGATTATGAGCAACATGAAATTCATCTCTTCATGCTTAGAGAAGGTCCATTATAGAGATGTCCAATGTGTGGTCAAGTCTTCAAATTGGTTAGACTTAGACAATAAGAGGATGAGGAAATGTCTTACTATAGAGATTCATTCCATCCTATTGATATTTTTGAATTGGATGTAAAATAAATCAATTATTTTAGAATGAAAATGTTTAATCAATTAACATGTTCAAAATGTGGACTCACAGAGAGGCTTCATTATTTGAGAGTGCATTGTATGAATAAAACATTATGGTGACGATGGATAACGATGTACACGACAGATTACTTGTTGATCCAGCTTATAGAATGTGGAGATTTTAACATGGTGAAGATAAACTAAAATACATTGATTAATAATTGAAATAAGCAGGTTACAATGAAGAAAGCATCTACAGAAATCCAAAATACAAATTACCAATGTAAAAGGCAACATATGCAGCTGTCATTGAAGCAGAGAAGGTTTTGGCTATCTAAGAGAGATTAGAAAGAAAAGTGAACAGATTCCATGTTAGAGAATATCTTGATTTTGCTAATCATGCCAGAAGAGAAAGAAGAATGAGATTAAGATAAAAGGAAAGATGGGAGAACAATTACACTTACTTCTATGGAGGTCTTACTGAAGAAGAATAACTATACAATGATTACTTTGAAACAGATTAAGAATTGTACAAGGATGACGAATAAGTTGAATAGAGAATTGATGAGGCTGTTGCCTAAGTTGATCCTAAATATAGTCCTCTCAGATTTGACTTCTAAGAAGCCTATACTCACAATCCTGAAGAAGATTAAACATCACTTCTTGAAAAGAAATTGTGGAGATTCAAATATAGATTAGCATTTGATTGCACCAAAGATTATTAAGTTAGAGAAAGAAGATTGATCGAAAGACATTTGGCAAGAATGACTAAGGATCCGGAATATGTTGCTGTTTTCAAGAATCTATAAACTGCTGTTAATTCAGAAAATGAATTTGCTCTCTTATAGGCTGAAAAGGATTATTATAATCTTGCAGCTAAAGAAGGATGTAATATTAATAAATTATTTATTTAGTCCTTTAATACAAGGATTACTTTGAAGGAGATTCATCAGCTGAAATCGAATTAGTTGAGGAATTATACAAAGCTTCTCCTTTGGCATTCAGCAAAGTCTTTGTTAATCATTCTGCACGATTAGTCTAATAAGAAGGATTCTAGAAATTCCCTAAAAGAGCTTGGAATGATAGTCTTGGATTAATTCAAAACTATGTTTTGGATTTCTAAGACTTTTCATCCAATATTGTACCCAAAGCTCAAAAATTAGCTAATTATGCTGGTTTATAAAATGTATTAACCATATCTTATACGATAGGTGCTCCCTGCTGATGAATAAGAGTTGGTAAAACTCGGCTTAGATAAAACTGAATAAATTGCAAGATAAAAGATTGCTTAAGCTTAAGAAAAACCATAATTAAATGAGCCACCCAAATAAGCATAATAATAAGCACCTCCAAAAGTTGAATAATAATAATAATAGAAACCTTAATAATAATAGCAATAATAATAACAATAACAATAATAATAAAAGAAAGGACCATTTACCAAAAAAAAATGATCATTTTAATTATTCATTAAAAAGAAGATTTCATTATAATTATGCTTCAAACTAATATTATATATATTCATTCTTATTGATCTTAATTTTATTCTATTTGCATTTCCTCCCGATTATCTCGATACTCAGAAAACAATTCTTAATAATCAACCTTTTATCTGCTTTCCTTTCCAATTGCATGATGGTCAATTTAAGCACACCCAGGTGTTATTTATTTAAGGTTTTCTAGAATTTGAACTCTTTAAAGAATATTCATCAAATTTACATATTTTTTTCCAAATAATCTTTAGAATTTTACTCTTCCATATTCGAAATTGGTAAATGTAATTTATATTCAGGTCCGAAATAGACTTTGTAATCTGATTCATCAGGAATATTATCTTATATTGGAACATTCAAAGCAAGTGAAGTTTCATATGTCCAGCATCTGGGGACATTTCTAAGAGTATAGCCTCCACCTCCAACCATTATTATTGGAACATTGAATTTCTTTAGATACTCAATGCATGTGCCATGTCCTACATTGATATCACATATTAATACCTTTAATGCTTAAATTGAAACACCCCAATCGATCACCACTAAGACTATCTGTACCTCCTTATAACATTACAACATCAGGTCTGAAATTTTCCATAATTTTATCGATGACTGGTTTGAAAATATATTAGATTGAGTCATCATTTAACCCTTCATTTAAAGGGAAATTGACAGCATAATATTTTCCTTTATCATGTCCAACATCATCAATATGTCCAGTTCCTGGGAAGTATTCTTTAAATTTATGAAATGAACATGTCATCACTCTATCAGTTAAATAGAAGGCTTCCTCTACTCCATCTCCGTGATGAATATCAATATCAACATACAGTACTCGCTAATAGGTTTTCAATAATTCTAATATCCCTAACACACAATCATTAACATAACAGAATCCACTTGCTTCACTTTACTTGGCATGATGCAATCCTCCACTCCAGTTGATGGCAATGTTGCTCTTTTGATCTGCTATCACACAAGCAGCTCCAACTGATCCAGAAGTTTAACATAAGCAAAAATCGAACAACCTATCTAAGACTGGACAATCCTCCATAAAATTAACTAAATTCAAGGTCTAATTTACATCTATAAAGTTGATCCTCATATTGACATTTATTTTCTGGAGTGATTATCTTAATTAAATCTATGTATTCATAAGAATGAAATTAAGTTAATACATCCTCATCTACTCTTTTTATGTATGTTTACACAAAAGATTAATCCTATATTCGATTTTAATGTCTTACAATACAATTCATATATTATTTCAATCCATAGTGACCGACTAAATCATCAGTGATGGCCACTCTTAATGGCTTCATTGGATGTGTTGTAGAGTAGTTGAATGTCCCGAATTCTTCATCATAGTAGTATGTCACTTTCTATTTAAAGAGATTCATCCTCCCAAATAAATTTTAAGAATTTTATTATTGACTTTATAACACCATTAATTACATGATTATATAAATTTCACTATTTCCTTTCCAACTATACTTCTATTGAGCACTTCAAAATAGACCATTTCGATTATTGCTTATTGTATTATTCTATTGCCATTAATGAATTTATGTAATTTAATTTCATTTTAATTAGATTATCTGTTAACCAAAAATGTTTTCTGCCAGAGATTAACTCAGGTTTTCAAGAAAAACCATACAAACCTGCTCCATCGCTTCTTCAAAACCTGTAAGATATGCAACCTAGTATTGTGGGGATGATGAATATTCTACTTCGAATTTCAATTCTGATTATGAATTATTGAGAACAAAGGAAAAGTATAAATAAAAGTGCGAGGAAATAGATATGAAGAAAAACCAATTACATTCTGATCACCTAGATTTGGAATTAAGAGCTGAGGTATCAAATACATTGGTAAATAGAAACTAAGGTAGGGAGAGAATGAAGTAAGGTATATGGCTGAAATTCTTAAAAGCAAGATCAAATAAATTTAACAACAAGAATAACAAATTAAGGAAAATCAAACTGCCTTTGTTGATAAGCTCAAAGACAAGGAATTGGGCTTAATTGAATAATAAAAATCAATCTAAGAAAAACAAGATCAATTAAATATAAGAGAATAATAACTATCAATTCGTGAACAATCCCTAAAAGAAAAAGAATCTCTCCTATCAGAGTAAATTCATTACTATACTCAATTTAATGAACGTCTGAAAATCAATTTAGAAGAACTCAATAAAAAGGAATGTATTTTTATTTTCAATCAAATTAGAATTTTACATTCAATAAATTAGGAATATGAATTAAACCGTTGAAAGTTTAATGGCACATGAAAATCATATCAGAGATCTAGAATTTAAACTAACTCAATAAATCTAAAAATTAAAAGATTTTGATAACTAAATTCGGTAAAAGTAAATAGTTACAATAGAATATAGGTTTTAAATTGTAAACAATAAGAAGAACTAATTGATTAAAAAGAGTAAGGAATTTTTAAGACTTAAGAATTGATTAATCGCAAATTACTTTGGGATTAAAAAAATATCACTAGGTAACATCTACAATAGATTTCAAACTACATGAGTGACTAAAATTACTTTTGATAACAAATCATCCATATATATTTCTTATTTAAACAAAATAGTATAGCTTATAGTTTTATTTTATTATAAACTAGATATTCTATTGGCTAATAACTATATATCTCATTATAATTTTTATAGTTTTTTCTAAATAATTGAATAAATAAAAAATAGATTTATTTCGAAACAAAACTCTGCTTTTTATTTAATCAACCAATTTTTAATTCTTATATTTGTAATACTTAGTGATTAGAACTATGGTTAACAGTTTGAACAATTGTTTATTTCATCAAATATAAACTCCTTTGTTTTTCACATTTTCAATCAAAAAATGAATAGTTGACGCTGAACAAAATTAACTTATGAATTATAAACCTTAAATTTAATTTTAATGGTTTTTAAACTACATTCGAGATGTAATAAGATATTGACGATAATAATTATATAATATACTTTAAGTTTTATTCATTTATAAACTTACATCACTTAGAATCAAAATGTTGTACAGCATTGAGACTTTTAGGTTGATTTGGTTCCAATTTTAGATTATTAGTGAGTATTTGTTTTAGGAAATTCCTCATCGATCTCAATTTTTATTTCTAATTCACAATTAGTTTATGCTACTTTAGGAACAACTTCTAAAGTCTAATGAACTTAAGGAGCTTGAATCTATTCTTAAAACTATGATAATTCTGATTCAGAGTGATCGGACTATTCAGATTCTGAATAATTTTCAATTTCATTCTAAGGTGTGTATGAATTTGTTTTCAGGACTATAAAACTATCTTGAAAAGTTATTTTATAATTTCCACCATGAATAATATCATTACCACTTCTGTCTTTCCTATTTCTAATTTCATTGGATTTTTGGCATTTCAAAATAGAATGAAATTTGTTCTTTTCAGATGTATTTCTTTTTCTCTATACAATTTAAGTTGGCATTTTGATAAGTAAAGAAGCTTAATTGAAATTATTAAGTAATTTATATTAATTTATTTAAAACAGATCTTTAAATTTCAACTTTACTTGATCAAAGTTTTTATGAATGTACGTAATATATTTCGGAGTGGAGCTCATAAAAAAATCAGATCATACTATCATGGTATTCTAATAGATTTGTCCTTATTTGAGAGTAAGTTATTTATTGCTCTCTTTTGAAGGATTAATTTATGAATATTTAAGGAATCTAAAAATAAATAATTATTTTCTGATTATTACACGGTCTAATATGGATAAAAGTGAAGAATTAAATGATTAAATTGAATTTCTTTTTAATTCTCAATGTACATCTTTTAACTTGGGAATTCACAACTATGATAAGAGAAATATCCTTCGAAATTTGGATGATATGGAACATTTAGAATTTGAATGAAATTTAATGAATTATTTTATATAAACTAAAGTTGATTGATTAAAGTAATAACTATGTGAACCCTTGTGAATTTAAATTGATTTAATTAGAGTTCATATCCGTAGCTTAAAACTCTTTTGATTAAATTTATTTTTCATTATATCCTCTAAATTGAGCGTTGATTTTTATAAGAAAAATTACAAATTTTTATTGATACAAGTAAGTTGGTTATGACTTCTAATTTGTCAATTTCACAAAGTTGTAATGGCTGATGCTATTTATAATTTAATATTTATATTATTAATTTATGCTTAATACTACTGAGCTTGACTAGACATTAAAAACTAATAAGGAGGCTTTAGAAATTCCAAAGTTAATCGTTAACTCATCAAAAATTACTGTGGCTTCTACAAATAATTTAAATAATAATAGTTAGGTTCCAGAAAAAAAAACTACTTTTTTCCGTACTGAGGACAAGTTCTCAAGATTGGAGTAATATGAAGAAATTGATCGAAATGATGAATTGAATCTTCCTTTTGTTCCACCATAGGGATTCAAAGGACCAGTTGGTAAGTAAGTTTAATTTACTGATTAGTTGATCGGAAGGCAACTGATAAAGCTTGGATAGGTTTATTTCTTATTGTATATGTTTTATACGGAGTTTATTCATATTTTGTAATTGCAGGTGGAAATCCTGATAGATTGGCCCATGGAATAGACTTTAGAGGCGAGATTTGTGGCATAGGCAGTTTAAAGAATAAACCCTTCTTATATTATGCTGGCCCCGTGATGGATATAGATGTAACCTGGTGTATTAGGTAATGTCCGCCATCGACAGGGAGGGAAACTTGCATGTACGATACAGATCATATGACGGTAACTTCCTTTTGTTACATTCAAATGCAAGCAGATCAGATGGGTTATTACTGTATACCAAAAGAGCCCAAGAGCAGAGAACTTGTATTTGAGCAATTAGGATCAACAAGGAACACAATGAGAAGGATAGGGTCAGATTTATGGCAATCTTGGGACATTACATTATGCGGCTTTGGCTTATCAATTGTTTTAAGTTATTTGTTTACAGTTCTGGCTAAATTTGAAAAAATCGCTGCTGGATTAATATGGGGAGCCATTATATTTGCTGAGGCTGGCTTAATTCTATATGGTTGGCTTTTCTATCTGGAATCAATTAGAGTAAGTTATGAAAATGAATTTAGGCCCACGACTTTAGATGTATCGATGGCATGAACTCAGATACCTGTGGTGGCCAAATAGTAACCACCTATTAGATATTAGCAATTGTATTCTTGGCATTAGGAGGCATTTACTTAATTGTTACTTTATTACTTTTTAAGAGGATTCAAAGAGGAATTTCCTTATTAAAAACTGCATAACATATTATTCAAGTTTTAAGTTAGATTCGATCATTTCCATTTATTGTTGCGTTTATTGGATTGGTAGTGTGTTGTTTGGCATTTATCTTGGTCTGTTTTGCGATGACAGTGGGGACAACAGAATTAACAAGAGCAAAATGTATGAATTTTATATATTAATTACTTAGATATTGATGGACATCTTCTTTACAAGGTCATTTACAATGATTATATCTAGATGGGTCTAATCTATGTTGCATTTACAGTGTTTTTTACTTTAACTTTAATTTTAACTATGAATGATATGTTCACAAGTTATGCCTTATCAGTTTGGTTTTTCACAAAGTAGAAAGACACTGTCAGAATCCCTTATTGTTTTTCTTTCAAAACTTTATTTCGTTACCATTTTGGTACTTGCGTGTTTATTGCTTTTAATCTCATGTTTCTTACAGTTCCTCAATCAATAATGGATTATTCAAGAGTAGATATATTTATTATTCCTAGAGTTTAATGAGATTTCTACCTTAAACCAGTAGTTGTGTAAGATACACTTAGGCAAGTTGTATGGCATGTATTCATGCCTTTGAGGTGTTTCTCAGATATATATCTAAACATTCAGTTGTTTAAGTAGCTATTTGGTCTGAGCCATATTACTAAAGTGCTAAGAAGGCTTACTTTTTAATCTTCAGAAACTAGGACAAAATTAAAGATTTAGATTTCCTCTAAACATTAATTGTGTTCTAAATTAGAATGGCAACAGCATTTATGGCATCTATTCCAATTTATATTTACATCAATTTTGCTGAATAAACATTTATGGGGAAACCAACATCCGGAATTGAATCTCCAATCATCCCAACATTGTATGTTTTCATTTGTGGAATGTTCTTTTCAAATATCTTCTAAGGTTCATATGATATTACTTGTAAAACTATTATTTAATTGTATTGTATGGACAGTGAAATGTTTTTTGGTGAATAAAGATTTGTTGAACAATTCATTAGGGAGTTTATGGAATTTGTAGGAAAAATAGAGGATAAGGAATGGAAGATAGGATTTACAAAATAAGTTAAATTTAATAAAGATAAATTCAATGAAAAATTAAAGAATTATAATGATTCAGACAATGATTCTGAATCTGATTAAGAATATGATATCAATGAAGATGAAGAACCATAGAGTGATGAAAAAAAGGTAGCTTAAAAAAAGAAAAACGAAGATGATCAATATTTTGATTATGATGAAAAAGTTGAAAGAGGTAACGCATTCATTGGATTACCTTTGGAATACAAACCAAAAAATGATGTTACCAAGAAACCACCTGAAGAATTAGGAAATGCATCTCAATCTGTTATTCAAGATTAGACTATGGTTGCAGGAGATCAAACTATGGCTTTAGGTAGTAATAAATAATTAAGACTCAAAACTCCCATTCTTAATACCAGTCAACAGTCTTTCTAAATTTTATTAAACGCAAACGACAAAAGTTAAATTAGTTAAGTTAGTGATTTGGATGAAAAGCCATAAAGAGAGAAAGTTATCAAAAAATAAAGAATATGATCAATAAATATATATCAATCAATAAATATTTTTAATAGTGAAGAGCATATTTTGTTTTCTAATCTTACTCGTATATCTATATCAACTCTCATTTCATCATTTCCTTTCATGGGATACTTGCATCTATATCTTAATGATAGAAGTCTAAATAAATGTTGAAACTCAGCATCCTCTTCATTATTCTTATCACTCTTTCGCTTTTGAGTTGCTAATTAACCCAAGCATTCCTCCAACCATAAGTTTGTGTTGTCTCTTCTCTCAGATAAACTAAATTGATCTTCCCCAAGAGCTATTCTTGCCATATGGTCATTCAGAATCAATTTTCCATAATAAGGGAAGTATATTTTGATAAATGATTTCATTCTATTATTCTTTACAATATTTACTTTCTGTACAAATATAAAACTACTAGAAATCCTCTGACATTTCTGTTTTTTAATTCTTTTGCATTTATTGAAAATAAAATGGCAGAACTCTATTTTCTATTGAAAGCTTGATTGGCAGATCTAACAAAAATTTCAAAAATGATATCCGTAACAGATTCTCTCATATAATGCATCAATGCCAGCATGCCATCTAATAAGTTTTTATCTTCTGAGATTTTAACATAGACAGGTTATACATTCTATTTCATATCATCTTTTTCTGCATTCATTAATAGATATTCTTTTAACTTACGTTCTTTTTTGGCCAATTCAGTATTTGCATCATTCAATTCAGATTTTAATTTGTTTATTTCATCTTGTAAATTTTTAACTTAACGATTCAAATCTGAATTTGCTTTTTTCAAATTATCATTCTCTGCTAATACTGGTAAATTCATTTCCTTCTATTCATTTTAAACCTTCTTTCTTTCTTAGTTGATTGCTTCTTAAATTCTATTTGCAATTTGTGCTTTGAGCTATTGAAGTTCATTAGTAAGATCTTGAATTTATTAATCCTTTAATTTTAGAGTTCTCTCCAATTCTCTGAGTTTAGAAGGGTCAAATTCATCTTTATTAGAAATTTGATATTTATTCTGCGGCAATCTATTCAAATGGTAAAGTTCTTCTTCTAAATATTTCACTCTCCCACCTAGTCTAGAGAGCTCGATATTTCTTTTTATTAATCGATTAAATACTTTTATGTCACAACAGCTTCAAAATTGTATTACATATCCGTGATTATGGCTCTCAATCTTAAATTATCTTCCTCATGTAAACCCTTAATAAAATGCAATCTATCTAAGGTTTAGGACAGTGATGAGATTTCCTAAATATTGATCAAATTAAATACACTATTTCGGATATCAATTCCTTGAAGGAGATTTGGAATGAGATACTCGTCGTTAGCAATTTACATTTAATAATTTAATTTTACAATTAATGAAAACATAGTTCTGTATGCAATAACAGTATCATTATATGGGATTTTGAGACAGGTACTTTTAAGTGCCATGATATTTAGATGATTAGCATAATGAGACCCTAACTTTTTGATTTATTAATATAATTATAAATTATTAAAAGATGTCTCAAGAACACGATTTAGATGACTTAGCTGAACAACAATTAGCAGAATAAACTGCTCTAAGCTAGATTCCTTCTATTCCTGATCAGGCCTTACCAACTCGACAATATTTGGAGAAAGCAGTTATCGATCAATTGCATGGTAGATTTAGTTAATTAAACCCAAGATGCCTTAAAGGCTTTGGCAAGGGAGAGACCCAAAAATCCAATAGAATTTTTTTCATATTATTTGTTGACTCAGCATTGCAACAAAAAGCAAGAATTACAAGAATAATGAAATTAACTGCAGTATAATTGTATAATCCCAATGTGATAAATAATTATTTAAATATTAATGCTTAAGCATCTTTATGATACAGATTGCGTAACTTGGTCTCCACAAGGAAAATTGTTTCAAGTGGACTATGCTATGGAGGCAGTCAAATAGGGAAGTATTTGTTTAGGCCTCAAATCAAATGATTTTGTTGTATTATGCAGTCTGAAACGATAACCATCTGAATTAGCTGGTTATTAAGAAAAGTAATTCAAGATTGATGATCATATGGCAATTGCAATAGCTGGCTTAACTGCTGATGCTCGTAATATTCAATTCTAATTATTTAGGGGTACTCTGTAAATATATGAGAACAGAATGCTTAGAATATAAATATACATATGAGTCTCATCATCCAGTTGGAAGACTAGTATTCAAAGTTGCAGAAAGTATTGAAATGCTCACATTATTCAAGAGTCGCAACATAAAACTTAGAGTGGAGCCAAAAGACCTTATGGAGTAGGCTTATTAGTTGCAGGCATCGATCCAAATGGTGTTCATTTGTTTGAGACTTGCCCATCAGGAAACTATTATGAATATAAGTGTCAAGCAATAGGTTCAAGATCGTAGGCAGCCAGAACTTATTTTGAAAGTTGGTTCCATTTATTCGAGAAAAGCACTTTAGAATAGCTAATTCTACATGGGTTAAGTGCTCTTAAGAAGGCAATTATGGAAGACGAAGAGTATCCATTCAATTGATATTTTAGATTAAATGAAAAAAATGTAGAAGTGGGAATTCTAGGTAAAAATCAGAAATTCATTCATCTTAATGCATAAGAATTAAAAGACTATATAGTAAAATTAGAAACATTTAATGCCAACACTTAAATTTAGTAAGAGTGATGGTTAAATATTAATAATAATATTGGATATATTTATATAGAAACACTTGAGCTCCAATCATTTTTCTATATTAAACTTTTATCCATAAGCAAAGTTAGTATTTAGCTTTGTATCTCTTCTATCTGGTTACTTTTATTTTTCTAGAAATTATTACTATTATTACTAGTTTGCTCCTTTTCTTCCTTTCCCCACTCTTCAATCACTAATTTGTAATCAAATTTGCGAACATCTGATTCACCTTATAACTCAAATAGTTTTAAGAAGAAATAATCAAAAGCTTCGCTGCTGAGATTTATTCCAATATAATTAAATGCCTTAGTCAACTAATCCTTTGTCAATAGAGCCTAATTAAATGTGGGCAAATAAGATAAAATTGACTTTTTAAATTTAATGATTTAAGCACTAATCTCATTACTATATTGTCGTTCTTCTTCCTCTGTAAATATTCTACACTTTCCTACTATTTGTTTAAAAATGCTTCTCACTATCTATAATTGGCTAGTTGCCTCTTCATCATACTCTACAAAATCCTATGAGTTATCTTCAATCATGTATCTCGCCAATAAGTACATTTTCTCAACGTCTTTTAACTCAAAAGGTCTGTCACTTAATTTTAAAGCAATATCTTTTATTGAGATCTTGCCTTTTTATTTTATTTAAGGATCAAAAAAGTCATTTTCAACTACATCTTCTAATTTTAATTTCCTTAATCTAAACCTCATATTCAATTCTAAGCCTAAATCCTTAATATCTTCTTATTTAACTGTTCTTCTTCTTCTGATACCACCACTCTATGGTCGCTACTTATTATTTGGTTTATCCTCCTAGTGTAATCCTAATTGGTTGCCATAATTATAGTGTTATGGTTAATTTATAGGTAACTAAGAGAGAGGAGGTTTGGAATCCTTTTCAAAACTTGGTATAACACCCATAGTGCCCATTGTTGTTAATTTAGCTGTTTAAGTTCTTGCACTTTTTCTGTCAGATTTCTACTATTAAAGATATTCTTCAGAGATATCTTACTATGCAACTTATAATAATAAATTCTTATATTTTTCGTCTACTAATTCAAATTAATTCTTATAGTATTCCATATCATTTTCTAACGATTTTCTTTCTTTTTCTTATGATTTAAATTTCTCTTATTCATATTATTTCATCTACTATATTTATTTTTCTAATTGAGTTATAGTTTCACTTTTTTCCTCATTATTAAATTTAAATTCAATAATATTTTATTCTAATTCTCTTCTGTGCAAATCATCATTGTGAGTTTTGGTTGCTTTTATAATTAAATTGTTATTTATTGTCTTTAAATTTTAGATTTCTTATTATAAGATATCAAATTTATCATTGTATTCTTATACTTATTATTATAATTGCTTTGTCTGTTCCTCTGCTCTAATTTTCAATGAATCAAATTATTCACATTTAACTTATGCATCAAGCAATTCTTCATCCTTTAATTTTATCAATCCATTAAATTAATCCATCTCTTATTAAAGAGAATTGATAACTTTCATCTGAACATAGAATTTCTCTTCAAAATTATCCATCTAAACAGCCCTAAAATTTAAAATGTTAATACATTTTTTAAGCTGCCTAATTTCTTAATGCTTAATCTAACAAACTTCTAAGTCTAATTGATTCTTCTATATAGTTTTTTAACTCAGATTCAATTTCTTAAATTTTTGTTAATTTTATATGTTTCTTCAATATTGTTAATTCTGCCTCTCTTTCTGTTAACTATGACTTCACATCCTTCAGAGTTTTTTTAAGGTTGTTCATTAAAAGATAATCGCCTAATGGTTGATGTCCATGACCTGTTTGAATGTAATTATCCAAATTTTCAAGAAGTTTTTCTAATTTTGAATTTTCCTTTTAAAGTTAACCATTTTTAGTTTTCAATCTAATATTCTCTTCTGTCAACTTATTTATTTATTATTTGAGTTCAAATTGTTCCTCATAAAGTGTTTCTTTTTCCTTCTTGATGTTTTTAGGTAACTTTTTATCCTGAAACAATGAAGGTGGATTTAATAGGATGGCATTAATACTTAATTTTAACAATCATTATTTACTCTATTCCTTGCTTATCAAAATTATCATATTCTTACTCTTCAATAATGACTTCTTCATCAGTTCTTTTCCTCCCTCTGGATTTTAAAGTAAATTTTACAATTTAGAATGTTTTGGTAAAATGGCTGAATGTGGTCTAACATTTGGTAGCTTCTTTGCTCCTCCATAGGTGTTTGCCAATTGAGCAGGCATACGAGATTTAGCACTATCAGGACGCCCTTTTAAGTTGAATGCCTAAATTTTCATTAAATTTTACTGAAGAAGGTCGACTTTAAAAATCGAATTCCATTTATAATTTAAAATAATAATCGTTTCATTCATTCAACAATAATATCTATATTATTGATTTCATCCTCTACTTTATTTTTATTAAATAATTAAATTTAGATATCATCATCATCCCAATGCAGCTTAATTCCCCTACTTTCCCATTTGTGATTGTATTCATCCAATTTTAATTAAACTTATTTTTCTGCTCTTTCGAAACTAAAAAATGGACAGAGCAAAGAGAACCCACAACTAAATGGAATTAACATATATGATAGTGTGATTAGTTTTTAAGTTGGCCAATTAATTGCTATTGTTTTATTAAGATCATCAAAAAATAGTTTGAGATCTTGATCACTAATGTATTCAATAATCAATGAGTTTTGTCTCAAAAAATAGTAGGGATATAGTTTTGATAACACAAATCTACTGCCTTTTGTTTTTAAATTTATGACTGCGTTGGCGTCATATAATTGACTGTATTGTTTCTTTAATTTGTTTTTATTTTTTTATGTATTCGTTGTTATTTCTGAAGATTTTTTATTTTAAAACATAATTATATTATCTAAATTTGAATTTGATAAAAAGAATAATAAAACAAAAATATGAATTTGAGTAAAGGGCGATAATTAAAGTTTATCTACAATGGTAAAAATTAAGATATCAAAGTATAATTAGATGAATTATACAAATGAAATTATTAAATTATTTAATATTATTAATTGTTTAATATTATTAATCGTTCATTCGGCATGTCCAAGTTTTGCTGCTTTATAATCTTCTGCAAAATGCAACAAAGAAGCTGTAAAGACTGCTAACATCTTTGCTTTGCCCTAAGTAATGATAAATGAAATGGTCTACATCTCTTATTTATTCCCAAATTAAAAACACTGTAGCACCCAATCTTCTAGCAACTGAGATCACATACTTGGCATTACTCTCAATTTCTTCTGGGGTTTCACCTTAAGAATGAATGATTAACTATAAGTACCTTTTTAAACGAAGTCCCAATCAATAGCTCTTGCCTCAATTGAATTCAAAAGTCTGAAGAAGAAATGACTTGTTTTAGCCTTTGGATCCTTGAATGAAGCTAATCTCTCAGCTTCAGGGACCTTCTTATTGGCTGCCTCTAAGATTTGGTCATCCTTTTAGTCTCCCATAGTCTATTGAATAATGATAAAATCAATTACTTTTAAGACATCTAATCTAAACAATTACCAGATGACACCCAAAATGAGTTTCTTCTTTCCATCTACAAAGTCAACTCCACCTACGTTGACAAGAGTAATTTTGAATGTTTTAGCTTATTCCAAAGAATAGTTAGCATTTTGAACTTTAATAATTCTTGATTTGGCTGGGATCTTAACATTCTTCCAATTAATGGTTGATGGCTTTAATTTTTCTAACAATCTATTGAGATTGATTCCATCTCTCATGTCTTCAATTAAATTATTGATATATCCATCTTCTATGTTTAGACTGTTGATCCACATCTTGAATACTCTTTCATCCATACTGCTTTCAGGATCATCATCTTCTTGTAACATTTTAGTTTTTTCATAATCATCTTAACTTGGGGTCAATCCAGGACAAGCATTGAAAATTTATGCACAGAACAACAAGTTCAATTTTGAATTTCCTTTAACTATGTGGATGGGTCTCATGAATTTAGGAACACCAATGGATTCAGCATTTAATATAATAATTTTGGCTCTGTTTTCAGGATCTTGACCAAGTCCATCCAAACTGCATTTATCCTTATCTAATTGATTGAGCAAGACTATGTAGTTTTCACCATCTTGCAAGTCCTTATCAAAGTTATTTACTTGTCTTTGAGATTTGGCTTCCTTCAAATGATGATTGAACCATCTTAATAGTAATTAGTCAGGTGGTAGTTTAAGAATGTCTCCAATTTCTTCTTCCTCCTTTTTGAGTCTTATCAAAAATGGATTTTCTTTCAAATTTACCATTTTTGTTGTTTAAATCTATTACATTATGGAATAATATTACCTTAATGATTTACCATACCAATCCAAGAATAATGTGCTCTCTTCTATCTTTAATTAAGTCGGGTCTGATATTAACAACAACACATCCGATTGATTTGGCTGATTGGATGGCTAAATTCAAGTTGATCTATAAGATATATGTAATTCTGAATACATTTTCATTGAAGATGTTGAGTGGCTTCTTCACATTTATGGCTCTTGGATCAATTGCTCCATTTTATGCCAAATTGATGATTTTGCACAACAATATACCATCTCCCACTTTGATAAACATATCATTTGTTTCTGGATCCAATGGTAAAATGTCAGCAACGTCCTTATCGTCTCGAAGGTAGTAATTGATGTGATCACAAAAGGATGATACTTCATCTTGAGAATAAGTGTGATGAGATCCATCTCCTTTTTCTACCTTCAAGGCCTGCATTTGCTTCAGATTATCCATGTTATTTAATAATATAATTTAATCAAGATATTTCTTTGTCTTAAATTGCGGAATTTTATTACAACGCTATATCTTCCTGGTGTTACTTTTCAATCACCTATTCTGTTTTCTCCTTATTTTTATTTTTTTTCTTAGCACTCTTATTTTTTGACTCCACTGTATGCTTTTTCAATATTGCTATTCTTTTTTTGTATTCTATCGATTTTTAAAAATCCTTTAGATTGCAAATGCACATATGATAATCATCGAGTTCAGTCTCCGGGATCACCATAGCATGGTTTTCCTTATCTATCTCCTCATCATCTATAAAGGAGTCCTCCTGATCATACACATTTTGACCCTTTTCATAAGCAATATCCTTTTGCATTGCCCCGGTTTTCCGAGCAATTTAATAAGGGTTGTCTAATTTGCCATATTGAGCACATCTTTATACGATATTATCAATTAGATTCCTTTTTACATTATGAATTTGCTCTTCCTAATATATGGGAGACTTAAAGAATTTCCCTTCAGGTGTCTCTATATCAATTATAATCCATTCATCCATTTCTAAAACAATATAATTTAGTTTTAAAATTATCTTGCAATATATAATATATTGATAAAATTAATTGTTACAACATAAATGAATTTATTCAGTTTTTCGTATAGTATATATTACTATCTCCTAATATATTTAACTCATCCTCGCTAAAATATAGAATTAAATTAACTACTACTTTTCATCATATTAATAAACTTAAATTTTTTCTATTAAAAGACAAGGAAATCAGCACTTTACTTTGACGATATTATTTAATATTACTACTCAATCTTTCATTCTTAATGGTAAAATAACATACTCTAATACTTGAATCCAAAGGTTCATTATATTTCCAATATGAATCATTTAGAACCTGATTCTTAAAACCTTCTCTCAACTAAAATTAAAATCTTCTTCTAAGAATATCTTTTTGTACAAAAATTATAGCAGAATATGGTCATGAAATACGTTCTATAAAAAGATGCCGTATGTATTTATATATATAGTTGTATCATAAAGTTAATTAATTTAAATAAATTCTTAAACAATAGAAAGTCAATGTGATATACAAATCATCCAAATTCATAGAATCATATCATTTTAATTGATATCAATTTATTACTGATTTGTTTTATGCCTTAAGACTATTCTTTATTAATGTTTTGTATTGGAGTTAGTATGAATTATATTTGGGGAATCTACTTTCAATTTTATGCACAGGGAGAAATGTTGATAATTTATAATATACATTCTTAGAGAGTGGATTTATTAATTAATTTTTATTCATAACTTATTTAATAAAATGATACTGAAGCTTTTCTTTGCTCTAGTTGGAAGATGCTATTTATAATTCATCAACATTAGTTAATTAGAATAAAATAAATCTATTATTTATCATATTTATCATAATAAAAATTAATATGAGTTTATCATTTTCTTCATTTGGAAAAATTCTTGAAAAAACCAAACCAATCGCAGTTGATGAAGTTATAAATCTCAATGGACACATTCTACCCACTATTTAAAAGGATAAAAAGTAAGAAAATTGAGATGATAAAGCAAGCTATAAATGTTCTCTCTGTTAAGAAAATTTGAAGGGAAACAAGTAAACGAATCGTTTCCATTTAATTCTGTCTCCAGAAGAGCTAAACCAGCTCTGTGTTGTTTAATGCCTGAGAAATCATACGAAGCAAAATACACCCCCAAATTTGATGTAGTATAGTATAAGTCTCCTTCTTTTGATTTTGGTTAAAGATCTAAAAGCTAAATCAGAACAAGGTCTATCTCAATTTGTAGTCAAGATTACTATATTGATCAATACACATCTTTTAGAACAATAACAAAACCATCAAAAGGGTAAACTGAAAAGAAAAGCACAAGCTCTCAAATAAGAGAAGAATGTCCCAAATTATAACATTACTTAAAAGTATAACTTGCAAAGAATAAGAGAAGTAAAACTAATAATTGCTCTCCTGATTTCAACAAATACACAGATCGGAAATGTACTTAGAGAGAGTTTTTGCAATAATATGATTTACTAGGTGTAAATTATGCAAGAATAGTAAAATTTATATAAAATAATGAAAGAACAAAAGACTCGATGTGGGGTATGTTTAGTTTGGTAAATTTACTGATAAGGTTGTCATGAAGCAAGACAGAGCCGAAACGCCTCCATCAGTTCGTTTGGATTATGACTTTGATAAGCCAAGATAAGTCAGGAACATTTATTTAAGCAATAACAAACCAACACAACCGAAACTAAAGCCTAAGTTACTACTACCATAAATTAATGATTCTCGGTAAAGATATGTAAAAAGAACACAAGAGTTAATTTCATGGTCGAATTAATGAATAATATTATTAATTTATATAATAAATATATAGATAGATCTAGATAATTTATNCAATAGAAAGTCAATGTGATATACAAATCATCCAAATTCATAGAATCATATCATTTTAATTGATATCAATTTATTACTGATTTGTTTTATGCCTTAAGACTATTCTTTATTAATGTTTTGTATTGGAGTTAGTATGAATTATATTTGGGGAATCTACTTTCAATTTTATGCACAGGGAGAAATGTTGATAATTTATAATATACATTCTTAGAGAGTGGATTTATTAATTAATTTTTATTCATAACTTATTTAATAAAATGATACTGAAGCTTTTCTTTGCTCTAGTTGGAAGATGCTATTTATAATTCATCAACATTAGTTAATTAGAATAAAATAAATCTATTATTTATCATATTTATCATAATAAAAATTAATATGAGTTTATCATTTTCTTCATTTGGAAAAATTCTTGAAAAAACCAAACCAATCGCAGTTGATGAAGTTATAAATCTCAATGGACACATTCTACCCACTATTTAAAAGGATAAAAAGTAAGAAAATTGAGATGATAAAGCAAGCTATAAATGTTCTCTCTGTTAAGAAAATTTGAAGGGAAACAAGTAAACGAATCGTTTCCATTTAATTCTGTCTCCAGAAGAGCTAAACCAGCTCTGTGTTGTTTAATGCCTGAGAAATCATACGAAGCAAAATACACCCCCAAATTTGATGTAGTATAGTATAAGTCTCCTTCTTTTGATTTTGGTTAAAGATCTAAAAGCTAAATCAGAACAAGGTCTATCTCAATTTGTAGTCAAGATTACTATATTGATCAATACACATCTTTTAGAACAATAACAAAACCATCAAAAGGGTAAACTGAAAAGAAAAGCACAAGCTCTCAAATAAGAGAAGAATGTCCCAAATTATAACATTACTTAAAAGTATAACTTGCAAAGAATAAGAGAAGTAAAACTAATAATTGCTCTCCTGATTTCAACAAATACACAGATCGGAAATGTACTTAGAGAGAGTTTTTGCAATAATATGATTTACTAGGTGTAAATTATGCAAGAATAGTAAAATTTATATAAAATAATGAAAGAACAAAAGACTCGATGTGGGGTATGTTTAGTTTGGTAAATTTACTGATAAGGTTGTCATGAAGCAAGACAGAGCCGAAACGCCTCCATCAGTTCGTTTGGATTATGACTTTGATAAGCCAAGATAAGTCAGGAACATTTATTTAAGCAATAACAAACCAACACAACCGAAACTAAAGCCTAAGTTACTACTACCATAAATTAATGATTCTCGGTAAAGATATGTAAAAAGAACACAAGAGTTAATTTCATGGTCGAATTAATGAATAATATTATTAATTTATATAATAAATATATAGATAGATCTAGATAATTTATCAGCAGCATTTTTTGTTTTTCTGTTAAACTTAATACAGACTTTTAGATGTACCTCTAACAAATTTAGGATTCTCTAATTCCATTTGGGATGCCATGGTACCAACTTTATCGAACATTTCCTCGATATTTTATTTATATCAAACCTTCTATTCCTTATCCAGTCTTTGCAGATACTAAAAATAGCTCAGCATCAATTGAATCTGCAAATTTCTTAGCTTCCGTATACGTGACAACTTCATTCTCCAAATCAACTTTATTCCCACATAATGCCAAAATCATCCCCTTTCCATCGCAATTCTCTTTTAGATCTTCATGCCATCTCCCTAAACTGCGAAAAGAATCCTTATTTGTAATGTCATACACCAAGATGGCAATTTAGGATTCTACCATTCTATATATCAAGTTCAAACGAATACATCGAAAATATATTTTCGTAAGGGCACGAAAAGCTTCTTGACCTGCTGTGTCCCACAATTGGAATGTTATATCTTCTCCATTTATGTTAATGGTTTTAGATTGAAAGGAACTTCCAACTGTTGGTTCTATCTTCCCATCGTATTATTAGTCGACTATCCTTTTTACAATGCAACTTTTTCCCACATTTGAACTTCCTAAAAACACTGTTTTAAATTATCTATTGTTCATCTTACTTTTATAAAATATTACAAATTAAATGGGACAGAGCTGCATGAATAAAAAAAAAGAATAAAACGATCCTATGCATTAATCCATAAAACCTTTGCACAGAACAAAAAAACCAACTTGGGAATTGCATTATAATGAAAGCAGGCCTGAAACTCAAGAGGATCTCGACTTTGACATTGAAACCAGAAATCCTAAAAAAAAAGAAGTTCGTTTCACTACTCCAGAGAGAAGTCGACGGTCCTTCTCTTAAGGAGTCAAATATCAAAAAGAATTACTCATGAAACAAATGTTTGGTGATATGTTTGCGAGAAAAAAATATAGTTTAATAAGATCTGATAGAGAATTAAGACAAAAAGAATACAACAATAGAATCAATAAAACATAAAATGTAGACATCAGCTTCTCTCCTGGGCAATTTTCACTCAAATAAATTCATGTAAACCATTCAGATTAAACATCAACTTTGAAAGAAGATGTCAAATCTCTAAAGTCTGTTAAATCTAATAGTTAGCCTTAATCAAGCATATTAAAACAAAAAAGCACTAAAGCGAAATCGCTTTATTCTGGATCCAGAAGAAGTGTTAGGTTTCAATTTTGATTAAGTTATATTTATTATTTAATTATGCTTTATTCACTTTGATAAATATCAGATTACAGAATAGTTTATATTCGAATAAGTGTTGCTCTTCCAAACTATTCTCTGGGACAAATCAAGTACATCATCATATCCACTATCAATTATGCTCTTCAATGTAATTAAAGTTTAATCTAAATTAAAATATCATAAATTTCATCACCTCTCTCATCCCTATGATGCTGGGCATTCATTTAATCTCATTATCTATTTCCATAATTTCATAAGATTATGTTTAAAGTTACACCAGTATGTTTATAGTTACATCAGACTTCCATATAATCAAAATAATAAGCTTCTCGATTATTATAAATTAACATAATTTATCGATTGTAATCTGAGTTATATCAGGCTATACTTAATTTTTTCTTAATAGCAAATTTTTATGATAAAAATATATGTTATGTTTGTTATTTTAATCTAATTTATCTTTTTTTTTGAATTAATTTGGATGTAGATTTATCAAATTTAAATAATCGATGTTTAGAGAAATAATATTCTCTTAATTAAAATAGTATATGATCCCTAAATATAAAACAAAGAATTTTATGTTTAATATTGAAAAAAAATATTAATTCTTATATAAATAATTTAAATTAATTTTTAACTAATTATAATTGAAAAAGTATTCTCTAAAATATCTCAACTTCATATGAAGAACTATCTTACTATATTGAATTCAAAAGTTGAATTTTTTATTTATCCTATAATTATAATGTATAAAAATTGTTATTTACTAAGAATGGCATATGAAAAGAAAGGATTTGATTTTAACTAGAATTTTAAATGAAAACTTAATATTCAAGCTCGCTGGTGTAGCTCCAAAGGTAGAGCAGTTGGCTGTTAACCAATTGGTTGAAGGTTCAAATCCTTCCATTAGCGTTTTTTTATTTTTTACATCTAATACTAAAGTTCGATAAACCTCATTTAAATAATGGATTAAGACCCAGAACCTCCTAAATCTAGGCTTACTAAATTCTTTGAAAAGGTTGACAATTAGATTGGGCCATCTAGGCTTTAGTATAAGCCTGCATGTCATGATTTAAAAGAAATGATAGTAGAATGTGTATTAGAGTCGGATTGTATGAAAAACAATGAAGGAGATTTTAGATTCTGATTAACTGAAGGAATAAATAAAGAATGTAAAGCCATAAGAAATGATAGGTTTGTTTGCAGAAAATCATAAGTGGATTGGAATAAACATCATTTAAAGAAGATCCTCGTTGATTTTGTTATATAATACATTCTAGATAATATTATTTCACTCAATTTTAGTTGATGCTTATTAGGATTCCTCTACGTCTATTTTGCCTTTCAAGAAATCATTTGACTATTTGTAAATTTAATATGTATTTTGTATATCAATACCAAGTGTATTACAATAATTATGTTCAGCCATGAATTAATAAAGATCTAAAGAATCATCTTCATCAAGTTCTGAGCCAAAACATTTCTCAAATTAATCCTTAAATTGATGTTACATGTCCTTTTTTTCAATTTATAATAAAAATTTGGCCACTTGACTTGGTTTCAACTCTTTTCTTAATTATTCTAGAGTCTACCCATAAGCACCTAATTCAAGTTAGACTTAATTTTTAATATCTTGAAATGAAGAAAGAGTACTATAATATTGAATAATTCGAAAATACTTAGTCAATTCATTTTAAAATCTGAGCAATTTTTTCTACTTTTTTTAAAGTATTTGCTTTTACTTATCTGTTAATTTTAAACTCCTTAATACACCATGTTCAGACTAAACCTCAGAAGTTGAGAAAACATCCTAATCTGTTTTAGCTACTCCAATAACGTAATTTAAATAGGGAGAGAGACAATTCTCATATATTTGACGAGCGTAATGATCTATTTATTGTTGTCTTTCTAAGGCTCCTGATCCGAATTTTTTCTTTATTCATATTTGAAAATTAATTACATTCAGAGATTCTATGATTGTGTCGATATTCATTTCATTAATATTACTTTGAACTGAGTTTTGTAAATTCTAAAACAATGTTATTTTATTCTAATCCTAATCTTATTTCTAACATTAATATTCTGTTACATGATGTATTTTGTTTTGCAAATTTGTTGCCAATTCCGTTGTTTATTCATTTACTCTTTTAAAAATTTCTAATTGCTCAGATAATTTAGTGACCTTAGTTTCAAGTAGTTCTAGGTAGATTTTCTTTCTTTTTCTACTATTTCTCGCCGATTCTCTATTTTTGGCTAACTTGTCTTCTTTATCACAATTAGAACTTCCAACAATGAGTTAGCTTTAGATCTTACTAGGAACTTGTCTTTTGCCGACTCTATTAACATTTTATTTGGCTTTACTTTTCATCCGATTGCTACTCTTAATTAGTAATCTTAATCAAGGAAGATATCTTGTTTATATATGTGTTTTTTGTGTTTGGTCTTTGCTTTTTATTCTTGGAGCTATTATTTTACCTTTTGCTAGGTTACTCGTCTTGTTCGAATTACAAATCACTTGAATTTGAATCGTAATTAAGTTAGTCTATATAATCAGGGAAACTCATTAATTTATATTTAATAGATAATTAGTAAATAAATTAATTAATTATTTAATGTTATTTACTTTGAAGAACATTCAATAATTTTAGAGTGTCTTTACATTCTAATAGTATCTATTATTCATCGGAGCAGAGTTTGATTAAAATACCATATTTTATTAAACAACATTAATATGTTCAGATAATATTCCATTAAAAAAATTCCCAATAATAAAACCTTCTAATTTTTTATACTAAGTATATTTAATATGAATTTTAGAAACTCTTTGAAGAAAAAAAAAAGGATGAGAATAAATGTATACAATATTCTAACAACGAAAACAATTTTTAAAATAAAAAATGTTTTTTAGTTAGTCAAAAGTTAATACTTTCTGATGAAATGGAAACTTTTTATAAAATAGTGGGGGAACAAAATATTGACTTCATATTATAAAATTTTAAAGTAATTAATCCATTTCATTAGATATTAATCAAAGAGGACATCAATAAAGAGACTTATATTCAAATATGGGGAGACCCGATTATGAAAAATACTATAAAATAAAAAGCAAACAATCAAGAAAAAATTTGCAGGTAATAAATACTCTATTGCAATCATATGTCCAGACAAGTAGGCTTCTTTAAAAAAAGTATGCCATCTACTATTATTTTAGATTTCATAAGTCAGGCCAAAAAAGAGATTATCATGAGGAACTTTATCCCAAAAGAATAAATATCATCTGAAATGATATCTATGAAAGCAACATCGAACATTTTTGATTAATGTTTTTTTGAGGGAAAATTTAAAGAACAAGAAAAATAGTAATTGAGAATTTTAACCTAAAAATTGATCACCAACATGTAAAAATTCAATTTTCCCTAAGCTTTCAAGATATTTGTTCCTCTACCTACTAATTATTAAAATTTAAAAAAAGAAGTCTCTCAATCAATTAAATAAAACCTCTATTATATCCCTAATCTATACGACGAAATTTATAAGAACTTTTTAAGTTATGATTAAGTAATTTCAATATTGAGAAACTTCCTTCGTACCATCATACCTATTGACTTTTTGGGATAATCAAACTTATACACTTTCCTTAATGATTTATCACAATTTATTACATTCCTCAGATTTGAAGATTAAAATTATTCAGATTATATTAATCGACTTAATGTCTTCTAAATTCCATGGATGAATAGTTATTTCTCAAAAAAGAAATAAAAAATTTTAATTTCCACCAAAAGATAATAACTACTGCCCATCTTTAGGTTTTTATTCTAACTAATTATCATACCTTTTCTTAGACATAACTTTTATATCACTGAAAGAATGAAAGATGATTGGAAATTATTTTATTACAGAAAAGAAATATGGACTTTGGTACTTAAATTATCATTATATCAACTATCATCCAATAATTTGAAATAGATATCTCCAGAGAAAATTACAACACAATATATCGGTAAACTCAGAATAGTACCTAAACCAGGTACTTTTAGACCAATAGTTACTTACAATAGGAAATCAAGAAGTATAATTTTATTTCAAAATAGTTTCTAAATTATCACTTAACAAAAAATTATTAGATATTAAGTATGTCCTTAGAAATTTAAGAAGCCAATAACTAGGCTTCTCAGTATTTGGAAATCCTTAAATATTCAACAGATTGGAGGAATTCAAAAAACTATGGATCAAGTATTAATATCCATAAACTTATTTTATGTCCATGGATATTCATAAATGCTATGATTCTATCCAACTTGAATTTTTACTTAAATTTATTGAAGAAAGTAACTTAATTTAAAGTACCTACATCATTAATAAATATTATCTCATTATTAGAAATAATAGGTAAAGCAAAGGATCAAAATAAATGAGAGACCTATTTAATATTTTTGATAGAACTTGCGCAATTCCTATCAACAATCCTTAATGTATTCAAAAGGGATACATCGAATATATTTAATAGAATAAATTAGCCATAATCGCAAATTTAGGAATATAAACAACTGTCACTTTTAGTGAATTCTTACTTAGCATTAAAGAATTATGTTAGAATAACATTGTTCAATTTGAAGATAGATATTTTATTTAGACTCTAGGAATTCCTTAAGGATTAAATATATCTGGAATTTTATGTTCTTTTTACATAGCCAATATAGAAAAAAACTTGACTAGGAAGCTAATAGGAGACACTTTGATTATGAGATTGACTGATGATTATTGTTGTTTAACATTTGATAAGCAAAATTTAGTAAATTTGATTTTTAATTAGATTACTATTAAAAATAATTTTAAAGAAGTTGAAAAGTAATATAGCATCCATCTAAATGACGATAAAACACAGCATAATATAGATCAAAAGATAGTCAGTTTTAAATGGATTGGCAAAATAATTAATTTGGATAAATTGACCATAAAACCTGCATTTGCTTAGGAAAAGGACAGTAGTAAGGAATAAATCTATTTTTAGAATTTTCAAATTAAATCAATGTTAATCTACCATCAAGAATTAATTCTTATTTTTTTAAGGCCAAGTTGAAATCCCTAATGCTTAATTAATTTAAATTTTTTTTTAATCCAAAAATAAATGACCCACCAACTTTGATTAAAATAGCCAAGACATTTATACACGCCGGACTTATTAAGTTAATTAATTTTATGGAGAAAGCCAAATTATTCAAGGTATCAAAGTAAAAGACTAACAAAATTGATTTTTTAAGTAAAATCATATTTTAATATAGAAATAATCAAATAAGTGCAAACAGAAATCGCAAATTATTGTTTTCAATAAGCATAGGAGAGAGGATCAGAATTAGATCAGAATTACATTTTGAGAATAATTAAGAAGTAATTACAAAAAACAATAAAAAATCACAAAAAATTGAAAACCATTATTAATTATAAAAATTTATGAATCAATAATTTTATAACTTTCTCAATATACAACCCAAAATTTGAATATGTAAGATTATAATTGGCTAAAGAGCTTATAAATGCTTAGCCGCTGCATATTTATAAAACATGGATATTAATTCATAATCAGAATTGATTTCTTTGGATTGATTGGATGTGGACAAGTCTGAAAATTGATAATTAATTCAATAATACCATATGCTATTAAATACTATGATCTCAAACCTTAAGACGCACATATATCAACAAGAATGTATTAAAACAAATGTGAGATAACGCTTTAATAAATTTACTATTATGTAAATAAACGTTATTAGTTATACTTTGATAATGTAATTTATGGTAATCACAATTCCACCTATGATGAGAATTGGAATATTTTGGAGATATAAATAACAAATCCAAAGACATATATAATTTCATTACTCTTTACCTTGAAACTGTCTCGCTAGAAATATTTGCTTAATTGGAGATGAAGAAAATAGGTTTAAACTATTTTAGGATCTTTTCATACTTAAATAACAGATATTTAATACTAAAAGATTTTCTGGAGAAAAAAACAAGAGCTCGAAACAAAACAATAATGTTAAACATCATTCAAATGAATTTGTAAAACATTCTAGTATTTATATTGAAATAAATCAATAAACTTTTATAAAAATATAATATTTAACTTTATTGAGACACTCATCTTAATTAAATGGTTTCAACGAAAGGTACTCTTTATTCTTTTTGACTTGAATTCAAGAAAAATATTAATGAAACTATTTTATCTAAGAAGGAAATAGTCTATAAAACAAATTACATCATACTAAATAAAGAATTTTACTTTAATAAGTTAAATTTTGAGATTTTTTTCCTCTAATAATCAGTAATTAAATTATAACTTCATTTATTTGTCCAAAAATGATTATACACACTAGATTAGAACTATAGAAAGTTTATATTAAAAGAGCTCCCATTAATGACACATATAAATATTATTTTTAAACTCTAATCAAAATTTCAGTAACCAATAATTTGGTATGATTCTTAATTTATACTCTTCATTTTAGAGCTACGGAAGAATTATATAGTACCCTCTTTTAAATAAAACAAATTTTACAATTTTGAGTCAATTTACTAATTCTAACATAATTCTCAAAAAAAAATTAAATATTTTATGATAACTAATATTTGAGTTTTATTTTAAACAATATCGCTTTAAATTAAATTTTCTTGATATCCTTTACTATATTAAATGAATAAATTTATAATTTTCTTTAACAATAATACTGTCTCAAATAATTTACGATGAGTTTGCAAATTTGTTTTATTTATTATGATTTTTATTTTTATTTTAAGAAGTCATTTGATATGATAGAGAATGATCTTGAAAATATGATAATGTAATGCATGCTTTTATTCTAGTATGTTAAACAATGATAGTACAATACCAATAAGTACTTAATAATATGTTTTACTTCCAAAATGTAAACATGAAATTATTACCAGAAAGAATAACTAACATTATATAAAGACATATTTATCTTAGGGAATAAACCCTAAAAATATAATTCCAACCAATCTTGAAGATGGAATTTGGGTTGGTCTTCCAAATCAAACCCAAAATTAATTTACTAAGTCAATACTTAAGGATGCCACAAAATATACTGAACAGTTAAATTAAACCAATAACAAATATTCTGAATATACTTAAATGAATAGTATGATAAAATCGAGTAACACATCAAGAAACGGTCCAAAAAGAGTGACTTTCGAGAATTCAGAAATATTACCTGAAAAATATTAATAACCTAAAAAATGATTTGTAGCATTTAAATTTACTTAAACAACCAGAATACATTTAAGGGTTTCTTTTGAATAATAATAAAAAATCTATTTATCAAGATTTTATACTTTATTTACAACTTTTATTTGAAAATAGGACATATTGATTATAATTGTGAAAAAGTATGAATAACGTTCTTGTTAATATTTATTTGTCCTTCTAATTCCACAACTTTATTTTACTTTTTATATACTCTCAATTTTATGATAACTAAATTACATTCATTTTAATTTAGATTGAATTTCAATTCTGTTCTTATTTATAGTAATATTTGTATAGCTCTTTAATAAGACACATATTCATCGTCTTCAGTAAGTTAAACTTGAATCAATTTTTATAGTAAGTTCTTAATAAATTAAGTTGAATTTATATTTATGTAAAATTATATATTATTGTAATCAATAAATCTATCTACTAAATCAAATTAATTTTCTTTATGATTATTCCGGTCTTGATGTTTGCGCATTGAGGCCAGCATTAGGTTCGCTAATTTTTCTAAAAAATACATTTTACTATTATACTTTTATAAGGACATAAGGGAATTGACTTTTTGATTAAGTTATGTTTTCGTTTTGATTAACTTCATGTTCCTCTCCTCATTCTTTTTGGGTACTACTTTTTCTACTTATTTTGGCTATTCTACCTTAATTAATTAATCCGCATTTCTTAGGGCCATAGGGTTTTCAAATGGTTAAGCTTATTCTAGTTATTACCATGAGTCTAATATAACAAGAGCACTTTGTAAATCATTTAAATTTCTCAATTTGATTGCATTTCTTATAATGTAATTTATTAATAGAATATAAAAAAATATGCCTTCTACATATGATGTGTCCTTAATTTCATTTTAATAAAACTTTGTATATGCATTATATAAGGAACTTACTAATCCTAGCTTAAAAATAATATTTGATAAGTAAGGCATAGGGGCTCCTGCAAAAAATATGGTAATAAATTTAGTGAAAGTCTGTTAATAAATTGTATTTTATTAACTATCTGAAAACCATATGATAATAATATGGAGCATGGTGTCAGTTAAATTCCTGAAGACACTTTTTTAATTTTTATCTACTTTGATCATATAATTTTATCTGTCATATAAGAGCAATCCATTGGTCATTAAGGAAACCAAAATGTACTATTTAAAGGCAAAGGATGAGGAATCTAGCTTTTATTTAATTGAATTTAATTAAACTATGCATTTAACTAAATAATCAATTACTAATTAAAATTAATTTTTTAACATCTCCTTGTAATTGTCAAATATTTATATAGTCTTAACTTTAATGTAAAGATTATGTAATAAGAGTCCACACTCCACAGACATAGAAGTTGGATTATGTGGGATTTCCAAAATTGAATATAGAAACACTTTAAACAATGAATATATATTCTTTTCAGTTATTATTAAATCTGCAAATTTATCAACATTAAAAATTTATGTTTTTGGTAATCGTTTCTGCAATTCTTATTGCTTTTCAGCATAGACAATTAATTAATTAAATAAATGAAGTAACATTTTCAAATGGTTTTCTGATATATTATTTTTATTAAACTAAGATTTTTCTTTTTCAAAATCTGATAAAAATATAACTGACTTAGTTGTAGGATATATTTAAACAAGTTTACTGCTTGAAAATCCATCATTTGAATATAATTCAGTGTCTTATTCAGTTTTCATTTTATTTTTGCCTTGATGTTGAGAGTTTTGATTTCTTCTTCTCATTAAAGGAGATGTCTTTATGTTTCCAGAGTTCATTTTGTTATCTATACTTTAACTATTGTTTATTTACTTACCATCTCCATCTTAACAAGATGTATTTGATTATATTTTAGGTAAATAAAAATTATTTGATTTTCTTTTTTAGATTTAATGAATTTTGCTATTACTTTGGTTCATTGAAATGGAAGATTGTCTTCTGAATTAATCATCTTCTGTTCTTTTCAGTTTTTCTTGCTTTTCATTTTAAAAGGTTTCTAAATTATCATAATCGTTTTTAGATTGCGCAGTGTTCATCTCTTAAATATCTAATGTTTCTTATTTAAGCAACTTTTTTTACATTCTCTGCGGATCAAATATAGATAAAGCTTTAATTACTTGAAATATTTCATTGTAAGCCTTTCATAGTAATGATTATTACTGTTTAATCAGGAGTGGGAATGTCTACAACTAGTTATGCATCGAATGAATAATTAGAAAGTAATTACAAAAAATTAAATGAGTGTAAATATGACCATAACTATTCTAAATAGTAGATTCCCAACTTAATAATATCTTCATTAAAATTGATCATTTCTGTCAACAGTTAGTTTACTTAAGGATTATAAGACAATTCTAATAGTTTAGGAAATATCTTTTGTTCTATAAGTTATTTAATACAAAACTTAGGTTATAAGGTGATTAAGAATTTTATCATCACAGCCAGATGATACAAATTGATATTTTTAGTCTCATCATACAAAGTGATATTGATAAAGGAGACTAATTTTAATGATTAATTTACATGTTTTCGCAAAAATTTATGAATATTGGCCTAATAAATTTTTAAAGTTTTCTATGTTTGTGAGTATTTACAAGGCTCTATAAGATCTAAAAACTTGATATTTACTCAAATTGTTAGTCGATTTGGATTTAAAGATATTTTTTTCATTGTCTATGATATCAGGCAATTTTGGGAAATTTTCATTCTAAATTGTTTGAAATGATTACCCAAAGAGAGGCTATTGAAATTTGAATTGGATCTAAAACAAACTAAATCAATATGTCGATATTCTCAATTTCTTCAAAAACTGAATTATGTTGTAGTGGTTAGTCAGGATCTTATTTACAGCATAAGTTTTATATATATAAACTAGGGTCTTATTCAGATGAAACATAAGACCTTCTTTTATTTTATTGTTAAGTTACAGTAATTTAAGTTTAACTCACAATCTCCGTATCTGAATCTTCTTCAATTACAACTATTTTGTATTTAGAGTAAGATGGAAATAACTTTGGAGTGTTTTTAAAAACTAAATCTATAAACCAAATATTGTTACAAATAATAATTTCCTCGCTAAATTAATTAACCCAACTACATTTATCAAAAATTGTAAATCTTAAGTCCTAAAAGCAATCCATCACCTTTTCTAATAATTTTTGATTAGTAGTGTTTTGAATATAATGTTTGAACATTAAACAATAAAGTTGGAAGTCCAACTACAAATTATTTGCCAATTCAAAGAATTTCTTTAAGTAGTTTACAGTAAACAATTTAATTGTCACTATTTCCTAAGCCACTGCCTAACTGAACTATTGCCCATCATGACCATCTTTTGGCTTGCTTTGAAATTTAATTGATATATACTTGTTAAACCGTTATAACATTGTAATTCTTTACTTTAAGGACTAAGTACTGGTTTCCTGGAGCATAGAAATGTCTGATGTAGCCTCAAAGAAGCAACTTATGAAACGAAAATCCTGGAAATACTCAAAAAATGCAGAAATCAAAGATTCTATGTTTGATTTTTAAAAGGGATATAAACACATTACTATCAAATTAGTAAAATAGAGCTTACGTTAAAACAATAGTTTTGAACTAGAAAATGTAGTTGCTTAGGGCAATTTTTAAGTTACATATTTTATACCTTCTGTAATTTTCAACAACCTCAAGTAATCATCATTTGCATTGAGCTAAATATTAAGAATGGATTTACAGCTTAGTCAAATACCAATGCTATATTTTAGTCTGGAACTTACTTAAATGATTAATCCCACATAAAACTTGTCATTTAATAAATTAAATATTAACTTTATCAATTCATGTAAAAATGTTGTCACATAACCAAAGTCCTTCGAATTATACTAAATGATGTAAAAATATAATAATATTAATTTTGTGTATCGATATAATAATTCGTTTTTCCTCCAAATTATTTCTTCCTCCTCATTTCCCTCAATCTACAGCATTTTAACCAAGATATTCGAAACTGCCTTCTGATGTCAGAAGCCAAGACGGATTTGATTTAAAAATAAATATAACATTATGTTTTTACAATTTTATATTATTTTAAGCTACAACAACAAATAAGATTCTTAGGGTTCTCTTTAAGTAATGATAATTACTAAAATTTATATGATCAATTGTCGTTCTTCAGACTTATTCGGTTTCTAAATGATCTTTAACTTAATCTGGGTGGTAGTTTTTTCCCTTATTATGGAATTTTAGGAGTAGATTATAATTTTTGTTTCTCTTATTAAGCCTATTCAAATTATTTGATCTCTCTTAATTTGCTATCAAAACAATCAACAGTCAATTAAGATTTTAATTTTTCGAGTTTGGTTCTTTTGAGTTGAATTCTTCTAATAGGGGTTTATCCGGTTTTGAGTAGCTCTTGTAATTCAATCATGTAATTTGAGTCTTCCTCAGGTATTAGTTTGCAAACGCCTTTCCAAGATTCTAATGGTTGCAAATACTCTTTTAAAATCTATATATTCCTATGATTTAGTGCCTTGTTTATCACGTACACTATCATTCTCATATAAAAATATACTCCTGCCTAAAAGCAGCTGCTCTTCATGCCATTAACCCAGAACTATTACAAAGCATTGTATATTGAATTTACTAATCCAATATTAAACAAAATATTAGATAGTGATTAAAAAGGAGCCTTTGCAAATAAAATGGTTAAAAACTTGGTAAAGAAGTACTAATAACAATTATTTTATTGACTATCAAAATACCAAATAATAAATATGTGCATAACAGTTTCGTTTAGGTGTTTATAAATGTTTGATGTGCTTATTAACTAAGTATGAATGCTAAACAAATTGAACCCAAAAAAGTAAGTTTATAATAAAAGTTATAATTGACACTTGTTCACAAATTTTGATGTTAATCTCATCTGTTTATTAATTGCCACAATAGCCCTTGTTAAATTGTCAACATTGGCCAGAAAGATCGTTCTTAGTTATTCTCTTAACAATTAAAAGAGTTCAATGTGATGGCTTTTATGATATATTAAATTTATGAGTTATCCACAACTCTCTCCAATTTTTTACTATGAAACATTTTAGTCTATTATACTCGACAAATATATTTCAAAAATTGAATTTAAGAAGTTCATACTCAATATTTGTTGAATGAGAATTTGCTCATTTAATTACTACAAATTAGTCTTATTAGGCTACTAAAAGTAATCTAGTATAGTTTTTATTATTTCACTAAAAAAGCCGAGGCAATTTTCCACAACGCTTTAGTCTTATCTTTAAACAATTTTTGATTATTCAAATTTAATTTATGCTTGTTTGGATGGATATATAGTTATGAGTCGACTACTCGAAAAACCATCATTTGATTATATAGAATTCATAGCAGCATCATCATTCTCTGTTTTAAGTCTTCTTTAACTAGCCAAGCCAAGTTTGCTATTTTTAGGAGATTATCCAAATATACTCAAATTCCGACTTTTTAAATCAAGACTAATTTCTCCCTAAGAGCCATAATTTGATAATTTGGATTCATTATATTAATTGTTACTATATATAGACGGCAATTTAATAGAACGACTGCTATTAGGTTAGCTATTAGTTTGACTTTGATTAGGTGAGGTTGACTAGAATATTAGTTTGGAGTTTGACGTAGGAGATTTACAAAAGCTACTGTTGACTTATGACATCCGAACTCTTGAAGTTCTCTTTAATTGTATATTATCAATTTAGATCTACAATTCATCTTAAATTTTTTTTTCCAATTATTATTTATATATTTAGTCTCTTTATTTTATAAAATCCATTAGGTTATCGTAATCTTAAGACTTAAATTCTTCTAGTGTTAAATGCTCCTTTACTTTTATGTTCAATTTCCAATTATCATAATCTTTGGCATCTTACAACATCAAATTTTTCCCTGACTAAAGTGATCCAAACAATGATGTCAATTTAATTTTATTATCTTCTGAAGTTTTAGGCTTTGCAATTTTCTATTCTTTTTTACTCAATTCTTTCAGACATCTTATTATGAATATCTAGTATAAATATGAAGTTTTTACAAGGTTATCTCCCTTATATTATAGATCTAGTTGTTTTTAATCATTTTCTTTTTCGAATAGTATATTCTATAACCACATAAACCAATCAGTAAAGAGTTAGTATTTCCAAACTTATTCAGTAAATGCAGGGCCGAAATCATATTTGTTATATTGGATCTAATGTATATCAATTAACAATCCCATTATTAAGGGGTTATAAATATAACTTGACAATGCAAACAACAATTAGTTTTCTAAAATTAGAGCCATAGAACTTTTAGGAAAGGAAGATAAACAAGAATCTATAGTTAAAGCTAGATGATACAAATTTAAATTTCTATTCTTATTTTAAAAAGATTCTGAAGTTTGCTTAACTAATTAATATTTATTAAACTTACAAAACTTCTATAAAAATGTTGGATTATATTATTGTAGTTTTTCTAGATTCTGTCTGTGATGAAACATTTAAGCAGTATTAAAAGATCTGACTGTGGCATAAAATTCAATTTTCTAATTTCTTATCTTATTAGCTAATCCATCATCAGTGATATCTACCATTGGATATTGATCTTTCTGAAATATTAAATTACACTACCCAACAATCATCTATTTATTAATCAATTGGATTTAAGATAAAATCAATTAAGACAAGCAAATTTTCTTCCTTAGAGACTATTTCGATTTATTATTATTCAAAAATTAAATATTTTTATGCAATCCACCTTTATAACAACTCGTCCTCATCAACTATTGATTATTAATCGCTACCAGAATTCGAATTAGATTATTTATTTTATTAATGAAAATCATCATCATCATCTGAACTACTGTCAGATGAATTTTACTCATATGATTTAGGTTTATTCTACTTTTCTATAAAAAGAGGCACTAAAATATTGTTTTAAGCACAATCTAAATTTATTAATTTTATATATATACATTGTTCAATGTCTCGATCAAAATCAACCACCCATTTTTAATCCTTCAATTCAGTTTATTTTAATTCTTCGAATGTATTTATTAGTAATATTATAAAATGGTGATCTCTCGTATTTACTACGAAATCCTTTATTATGAAAACTCTTTGTTTTATGTCTTAATTTAAAGTTTTTGCTAATACAAGGTACTTTTTGATATAGGAAGCTGCAAATTTCTTTGCCACTGTCAATTACTCTATCACAGCCTTAGCAAATGGAATAGCACTTTATTTTAGCTACTCTTTTCTTATGTTCAGATTATTATAACTAACATCTAATAATAATTGCTACTTTTGTTAAAGAACCCCAATCCTTAGAGATTGCGATCTCATGCTTAGAAACACTCTTTATTCTTTCAACTAGGCTATTTCCAGTAAAGTTTTTTCGAAAGCATTGAGAAATTCAATATCTTGAAAATAGTCAAAGATTGTGTTCATCAATAACTGTATTACTTCCTACTGAAAGGGATAAGAACAAATCACTATTTAATTTGCTAATGAATTTTTACTGTATTTTAAAATTTGCCAATTATTAAAAGTTTTAATCCTCATTATCGCCCCTGCAACTAGTTTTATAGCATCGCTTATTTTTGTTAATCTTTGATATTCATCTTCTTCTCCTAGCTGTAATTTTGAATAAGAAATTCATTACCGCTTCTTCGAATAGTAAATGGTTCATTTCAATAATATGATAAAAATAGTTACTAAAATTATTTATTATCACTTAATCACAATTAGTTAATTAATAAAAGTAATACAGAATCATAATTAAATATTTCGTATAATTTTTTAATTGGATTTTAACAATACAGAGGTGTGATGAGTATTCTTATGCCAAGAGTATATCAACAGATTATGTAATCAAATGAAATTTTATTTAATTTCTTGGATGTAGAGAAGATGTATTATTCCCTCCAATTTTGCATTTATTTTTAAATTTGAATAAGCTAATTTAATGATTGATTTTTAGAAATCTTATGTTAAAATTTAATGTGTTCATGATTATGTGTAAAAAATATAATTATTATAAATGCAAATATCAAAAGCAATAATTTATGGAACGATCGCAACTTGGCTTGGCAGAAGATCAGATGAAAAGAAAACACATTCATGGATTTGTTATGTAAGAGGGGCTCATAATGAAGACTTATCCTATTTCATTGATAAGGTAATATTTGTTTTACATAGTTCATTTGAAAACACCAATAGAGGTAAAATATACAAATAAAAATTTAGTTGTCTCTTAACATCCATTTGTGATTGCAGAAACAGGTTGGGGTTAATTCGATATCATAATAAAAATATATTTGAAAGGCGATTATGATTAGCCCTTGGTCACAGTGCATCCATTAAAACTATATCAAAACTAAACACAAAATATTCCATTAACTAGGAAACCTGTTGTGAGCGAACAATACGATGAAATTGTATTTATTAACCCAAAAGTAATTAATTACTCCTAACTTAGCCTGAACTCTTAGAAATCTTAAATGCAAAGCCAAACTATGAAAACAACTAAGTAGAAGAGGAAGCTCAAGTAGATTAAAAGGAGCCTGATTTTGAACAGATGACTCCTGCATAAATATTGAAATATAATTAGCCGTATTTCACAATTTTTGACACAAATGAATCTAAGGCAACAATTGAAAAGGCCATCTAAATTGTAAGCCAAGATATATTAGCAGATTATAAAAGAAAAGTAAAGTATCGCAAATATAAATAAATTAGAATCATCAATTAGACACAGAAATTTAAGAATTATAAATTGAATATGAAAACCTGTAAAATAAATTATCACAAACACAATAATGAGTTTATTTTTTTATATAATCATGCTGCTGATTATAATTAATTTATGCAAAAATTACATTATTAAAATTTATTGTTGCAAAATTTAATGTTAAGTATTAATGCATTAACTTTTATTTCGAATTAAATTATTTAATCTATTTGATAAAAGACTTGAAGGAATGTTATAATTTATTAAAATCAAATATAATGATTAACGTAGGAATCATTTTGAAAGAAAATACTTTCAGTTTTTTATTAGGATTGAATGTTAGAATTTCTGAGAGCTTGTGAAGTGATATTTTCTTTTATTCTTTCGGTAATGTTATATTCAGTAGTCACTTATTTCCTATTTTTTAATTGTTTTCTTTGCTTATTTATTATTGTTGATCTTGGTCTGGAATAGAAGGTTTTAGTGATTTATTGTATTCCTTAATTAATCTTACTTTAGATTTCTTTGTGGTTATTTACAGGAGATTAGTATTCAAGTCTTTCGTCCATACTGACAACTCGATTTGTAGATCTTTTATTAATCATCATCAATGATTAAGATCTGCTTAAGGCATTATCAATCAACCAATTGAAAGAGTGAACATTAAAGTTCATCTTACCTCCATAGGGTTTATTGAGAATTTCCTCTAGTTCTTTTTTTTTATCTTGAGCCCAAATGATTGGTTGTCTTTTTCCCTTGCTAGATTCTACAATCATCATTCCCAAAAGTTTATTGGCCACTTTTAAAGTCAAAAATTTGCTTGTTCCTTCATCATTAGTATTTTAATTGATACTCTCTGAAAATTCACTGCTAAACAAACTACATCAAATATAAGGATTTAATTACTCAAATTAAGAGTTTTTTTTTTATAATTATTAATCTGAATTTGTTGAAGTCATCTTTTGTTTTTGTGGATTGGATTTAATGATATCAGGTTGATTATCCAATTTTTAGAAGATTTCTTATTAAAACTCTAAAGGAAATTGCATAATTCGTTTATCATCCTTATGAGCAATCCTAAATGCTTCAAATGTTTTCATTTAAGGATCTAAAAATGAAAATATCGTTACTTTCCTCATGCTATCTATCTTTAATGAACAATCTAATTTTTTTTTCGATATAATATTAAAGTTTTTTCAACACTTCTATTTCTTTAATTTTATTTAATTTTCCCCTCAATTCCAATCTTTCATTCATTTTTCTCTCGATATTTTTCTGCTTAAGCTTTTCTGAGATATAAAGAAACTCTTTAACCGATCTAATTTCATTGATATGTGAGTAATATTTCAGAGGTATTTTCGATTGAGATTCCATCGCCTTATTGATCTTTTCCTATTTCTGTATGAATTCTTCTTTAGGTATAAAAGCTTCTGTTTCTTTTAATCTTTTAATGTAAATTTATTCTGCAGTTGTTCGATGAGGAATTTATATTTTAGTTGTAACTGCAGATTGCTTAGAATTAATAATTTATTTATCCATGGGGTTTTATAATATTTATTTTATTTATGATATGACTTTCATAATTATGGATTTCTGAAATTCTTTCCAGCATAAACAGCCTTGCTTCCTAATTCTTCTTCAATTCTAAGGATTTAGTTATACTTGGCTGTTCTTTCGGATCTGCATGGAGCACCAGTTTTAATTTATCCAGTTCCCAAACCAACAACCTAGAATAAGAATGAAATCTAACCAAATCAGCAATGAAATTGTCTTCAGTTTCTCCTGATCTATGACTGACCATAACACCAAATCCATTCTTTTATGAAAGATTCGAAGCCTCAATGGATTCTGTCAATGATCCAATTTGGTTGACCTTCAACAAGAGAGCATTGCATGCCTTTCTATTAATAGCTTCTTGAACTCTAATTGGATTGGTAACCAAAAGATCATCACCAACAATTTGAACTTTCTATCCAATTTTAGCTGTGAATTAAGTATATCCTTCCCAGTCATCTTAATCAAATGGGTCTTCAATGGAAACAATAGGATGTGATGACACGAACTTAAGATATAATTCAGTCAATTATTAGACACTTAATTTCTTGGATCCATCATTCTTGGCATTCTTGAAATCCAAATCATAAGTGTTTTTTTCAAAGAACTCAGATGCAGCAACATCCATTCCAATATCCACTTTGCCTGTATGTCCAGCCTTCTTGATAGCATCTTCTAATAATTGAAGTGCTTCATTTGGATCTTAAATTGAAGGTGCAAATCCTCCCTCATCTCCAACATTTGTAGCATCCAATCCATACTTAGATTTTATGACACTCTTTAAGCTGTGATAGACTTCACATCCAATTTGAATAGCTTCTTTGAATGATTTTGCTCCTGTTGGCAAGATCATGAACTTAGAATTATTATGTATTTTATACTTCTTGCATAGCTAATTTATTTCCAGCATGCTTTCCACCATTGATGACATTAAGTGAAGGCACTGGAGTGATGAATTTGTCTGTTCTCTTGCCTGCCAATTGAGCCAAGTACTAATAGAGTGGAACATTCTATTCTGCAGCTCCTGCTCTAGCCAAACTCAATGAGACTGCCAATATAGCATTGGCTCCTAATTTACTCTTTGACCATCCATATTTATTTTTGCTTCCATCTAGCTATTCAACAATAGATTTGTCCAATTTAGTTTGTTCGGTCACATTCTTACCTATCACATTATTCTATATATTTACCAACCAAAGCTGGTCTAATGATCTCATTTACATTAGCAACAGCCTTAGCAACACCTTTTCCAAGGTATCTTGATTTATCACCATCTCTCAATTCCAAAGCTTCATAAATTCCAGTTGATGCACCTGAGGGCACTGCTGATCTGAACACACCCTTTGATGTAATTACGTCAGCCTCAACTGTTGGATTACCTCTAGAATCCAAAATTTCTCTTGCTATAACATTCTTGATGCTTGAGAATCCACCCTTGATTTTCATTTAAAAAGATATTTTTAATCTATATAATTAAAATTAATGTATATTTATATCTCAATACTATTATTACGATAAGATCTTCAATACTAAAATTTAGATATTTTATATTTATTTTTAACTCTATACTTTGCTCATTGAAATTCATAATAATTAGGTTCTTCCTATCTTCCTAATTCCTCTCCCTCTTAATTTCATACATAAATATCAATAGTTCTAGTTGAAGTGTTGTGCACTACCAAGTATATTAAAAAATTTAAAGATGCCCAATTTTCAAATTTAAGTTTATTTTTTCACTTTTTATTTCTCATTATTGAAAACTCACCTATTGCAATCAAGCTTATCCAATTTATCCTTTTATTCAACAAATGTTAAAAAATTTGATGCTTTATATACAAAACTGACTTTCATAATTATTTTCTAAATATTTTTTTGTCAATCTATAATGCCACATATTTTAATAGAAAGGGCCAATTATCTATCATATAAGATGAGGAATATTCACCAATATGTCTGACATTTTTGCAGTTAATTTTATTAATTTATGAATTAATGTTTCAATAAATTATTGGGATCGCTAGATCACATGTACGAGGCTCTATTTCAAAAAATAATTGAAATATTTGCAAGAAGAGGGATCATTAGACCATTAATTCGAAGACCAACAGTTCCAGTCATAGAACTATAGCCTATTGATCATTCATTAAAATAGCCATTAGTTTTACACTCTTGTACATCTACGCCAGTGTTTGCTCAAAGTGAGTCAATTTATCGTAGAGCAGAATCAGAGAAAGAATTCAGAAAATGTTTCATACCTAAGTATATAAGTTTATTAATTAAGTCTAGGTGATACTATAAATAAAGTGGACTCTTATTCGAGAGATGTAAGTTTGTTAAATTTATTTGATGATTAACAGGAACAACACTAAAATTTGAATTAATAGGATAATCATTAAAAAGGACACAAATTGTAAACTATAATTGAGGAAAATAAAATTTAATATAATAGTCATGAAGGATATCAAAGTCAAAATTAATCATAGCAGTTCATAAAACAATAGCAATAGCCAAAAGATAGTAATCCTCAAGAATAGGATCAAACTGAGTAGTTTTATTCTATAATCGAAAACCCAGTTAAAATTACTTAAACAGAATAGTTTTATAGTATAATTGATAGAAGTTCTTTTAGACTCAGCTTTAATAAATAATAATCTAAGAAATGATTCAATTAGTGTATATTTAAATAGTTTAATCAATTTATCTTTGATTACTAATGTGAAGATTTAATTCAATTATCAATTAATTTATTATGAAATCTATTAATCTATCATTATCTATAGTTTTTAAGTGAAACAATTATTTTAATTGAAAGTTTAAAATATTGCTTAAGCCTAAATATATGAGTTTCATAATTACATCCATTAAAATATTTACTCCATTAAAATCGAAAGCTGATAATGTAGTCACCTGCTTTAACAGTATCTCTGGATCATTACTTTGGCATAATTGAAATATGTCGACATAAACTTATTAGCTCTCATCCAACCCCTTGAGATATAAAAGAAGATTGATTTCTAGATTGATCAGATCCTAACTATTCTATTCAAATATTTATAGCAATTTTCTATTTTGAAGTAATAACCCTCTGATGACGGTGAAAATATTTAATCTATTTAATCGAGGCAGTTCATTCATCCATGATATATATAAGACGTATTATTCCTGAATCCAGGGTCTGAGAGCCCCTTATTTCATTAGAAAATGAGCCTTTAGGGGGTGCTTATTCTATTTAAACCAATTCATTAATTCATCCTCGGCAGCTTCCAAGTGAAATATGATCGTGGACAATTGCTCCAATTAAATAAAGCAATCAGTTAAGATCAGATGTATATCAGGAATCTGGTAATGAATCTATCTCTGAAATGACTTGCTCACTATTCTGAATCCAATAAGTGCTTTTTCCGAAGCAGATATACTCCAAGTTAGTAATGTTTTGTTGGTGATTCCTTTACTAATCCCTTCATAAATTCCTATGGCAAAATTATACAGATTGATTTGAGAATTAATTCTATTACTTTCCTCTAGGCTTAATTATTTG